TTAAAAATTTAGTTTTTTTGTTATTTTAATGAGTTAATTTTAAATTTTTGTAAATTAATTTTTCATGTGTTAATTATACAGTGTTTCATTTTTATAGTTAGGTACAAATTTAAATAGTTTATAGAATATTTAATTTTAAGATAAGTGTTTTGAAAAATGCCATGAAAAGGAGTTACACCCCCTAAAAAAGGTACGTTGTTTAAAGGGATTTTCCTAATATTTCAGAATAGATAAAATTACAAAATTTGGTACCTTTATATGTACACCCAAACAAATGTCAAATAACAAAATTTTTAATCAGGGGCGTCCTAAACGGTAAAACAAATTTAATTTTTAATTTTTATGCTGTTTATGGTCTGTAACATAAATTTTAATAAATAAAAAATCCGTAAATTGTATCGGAAAAACACAAAAGACCTTTTTTTATGAAAAACTATGAAATTTTGTTGATGAAAGTGGCAAGAAACCACAGAAAAAATAGTTAGAGTAAATTTTTACCCTAATCTCATCTAGTTTAGGAAGCACCTAATTAAAAATTTCAACATTTTATTTTTGTACTTGTTTAGGTGTATAAAAGTTATCATCTGTAGCAAATTTTGAAATTTTTTTTTAAAATGATTTCGGAAATATAGAAAAAAACCTATTAAAAGACGCACCCCTTGCGTAGCATTTTTCGATATATGTTCATAGAAAATTTTTGTTTTAAAAATGAATATTCATCTCCTGTTTAAATTTGTAACAATAAAAAGTATTAAAAATTTATTTTATTTTTTGTTACTTTTGTGAGATAATTTGTATTTTTTTATGTTTAATTAGGATCTCTTATTTCAATTTAAAATAAAAACGTGTACTTAGAGATTTTTGCTTTTTAATCCGTCTTCTTTCATTTCATTTTCATGGACCAACAAGACCCCCCCCGAAATAAAATCCTGGTTACGGCCCTGACTAACTGTACAACGTGGCAATACAAACTTATGTTTTTTCTTAGTATTTTTGTGTTGTGTTTGTAAAAATAAAAAAAATAGGAAGTTTGTTAAAAACGCGTATTGTAATAACAAAGTTTCACCTCACACTTGTTGCATTAAGCATATACAGGATGTCTGTTTTTCGAGCTCCACCATGGGGATCTCAGTTATTATAAAAGATATGAAGTCGGTTAAATTAGGACAAAGTTGCGCATTTTTATTCTGAACAATTATCTAAAAAAAATGTGTCCTTTTAGTTTTTGAATTATTGGAAAAAATGGGAATTTGTAATTTTTGTTTTTATTTTTTCAAGCAAAAACTAAAAGACCTAGACGTTTTTAACTAAGTCTGTTATCGTATTTTCCAAGGCGCTCTTGATGTCAGAGTTATAAGACTCAACTTTGGATTTTCCTATGGACGCCATATTCGATTTCAGTATTTTTAACAAGTCTTTTTGTTCTTGATTACAACGATGTGATCAAATTTTACATGCTGATCAAAATTAAGAAAAAGCGTTTTTACGAAGAGTGCTTTGGAAAAAATGCCAACAATCCAATGTAATGATAATAAAACATTGGATATCTGTAGCAGTGTTTTAATTAATACACATTTAGTATATTTTCGACTTTTTTCAGCATGCTTATAAAATATAGGGCTAAACAATAATAGTCAATAATTCTTTATTTTGTAAATAACGTTGGATACAAAAAATTTAAACATGAAAATTTACAAATTTAATCACTTAACCAGCTGACAATAAACAAAACAGTGCATAACAAAATATCTAGGTAGGTACAATACTCGTATTTGCAAAAAAAAGACTAAAAGTAAAAAAAAAGTATATTGGCGAGATTTTATATTTACAAAATCTGTTGTAATAATACTCAGTTTCTGACAAAGTTTGCTTTCGATTGAAATAATTGCCAAATTGTTCAACCGTTCTTGGCTCATTTATGATCTTAAATATTTTTTTATCAATTTTAATTTGGGAAAGCTTCGTTATTCACCTCCAGCCCCTGTTAACGGCAAGGTTAACAAAATTCTAAACGCGATGACATTATTAGGAAAATTGACAATTATTTAAAGTATTTTATCATAATTATTGAAATCCTGTATGTTATAAAAAAAATTAAAAGTGTCATTATACCGAGTGCGGCATCGGTTACGCCCATTGATAAATCGCGACTTCTAATTAATTAAAACTGGCGATATTTCATATACCTAACTAATTATCGATAGGGTATATTTAAGAATTTTTCTAAATTTTTTTGACAATAAATGTAACAGTTTTGTGTGTTTTATGAATTATTTGTGTTAATTTACCTATAAAGTTTTTACACTAAATGAATCTGTACCTACTAGCGCATCAAACTTTGATATCACAATCACAAATTTTGCTTGGTTAGCTTAATAATCGCTTTTTTATTTAAACACAAACCAGACCCGTGATTTATGACAAAATGGTATAATTTGCCAACAAAAGAATCATTTACTGGTAGCCGACCGTTTTAAAAGGTCTTTTTGTTGTAAACCTTGGAATCTTACCCCTGTTGCAGTTCCCCATTGTCACCTAAATTTACGATGGCACAAGTAGCATAAATAAAAATGATTTTCAAAGTTTAGATGGAAAATTGCGTTTAATTCAAAATATAATTGGTATTTTTTTTCTGATTTTGTAAACAATTGTAGGAAGTGAATCTATGTAGGTCAGTATAAAAATTAGAATTAAATTAAACTATTAAATTAAAAAATAAAATTGAGAAAAAATTACTTTTAATTTTTTTTTGTCTTTGTTTGTATATAAAAAATTACCAAAAAATTAGAGAATGTACCTTACTAATGCCCAGGTAAGTGTGAAAAAATTCAACAATTTTATTTAATTAGAAGTGGGGACTTTCTTTTTGGGCGAAACGCATGTCGCACCCGGTATATGTTCTTTTACTTTCATTTACCGACATAATCGCGGTATCTAAAAGTGAAAAAATCTTTTTTGGGATCCGAAATTGGTTCATCACCATGTTCAGAAGTAAAAATTCTCTTCTTTGACCTTTACAAACCCGTGGACAATTAAAAGAATTACTATTTGAAATTTATATCTAATGGGCATTCGGAGTTTTGGCATTGCCCCCCACTCCCGTTGCCAACAGTTGAAACGTGGAAGAAAAGTAATGCGCGTGGCGCTCCGGAGGAGGAGAAAGTAGTTAATGTGGTTGAAAAATAAGACGTGGACAATAATTTGTAGTAAATTAGTCTTCAGCCGATACAGAATTGAAGTTTCGAAGTGAACTTTTTGTAAAGTTGTGTGAAACGTAACTTTTCATTCATCGCCATGTCAAAATCACAAAACAAGGGCTTCACCAAAGAAGAAGAGTTGCTCTTGCAGGACTTCAGCAGGAATGTCTCAACAAAATCCTCAGCCTTGTTTTATGGTAACGCACTTATCGTCTCTGCTGTACCCATTTGGTTGTTCTGGAGGATACATTTGATTGATATTTACTCCTCGCTAGTGCTTTTTGTGGTGGTAACCTCAATTGCAACATATTTACTAGCACTAGCGTACAAAAATACGAAATTTACTTTGAAACACAAGATTGCTGTCAAGAGAGAAGAGGCTGTGACACGCGATTTGTCCAAGAAGTTGTCTGAAGACAAGAAAATGAGCAAGAAGGAAAAAGACGAACGGATTTTGTGGAAGAAGAATGAAGTTGCCGACTTTGAAGCTACAACTCTTTCGATTTTCTACAACAATGCATTGTTTTTGACGATTGTCATCATCTCGAGCTTTTATTTGCTGCCGTCGTTCACCCCTCCTGTCAACTACACTGTTTCTATTGGGGCCACAGCTGGCCTCCTTGCGTTACTTTCAACTGGTTCTCAATAATAACAATAACTTGATTTTGTAATTTATTTGTTTAATAAAATAAAGTATTTCGTAAACTAAAACCAGTTACGTTTCTCCGTCATCCTCCCTCTTCCTCTTCAACGAACTCTCAATCTCCATGGGGGTTCCATTAGTGACGTTACTAGACGCTAGTTGCACATTATGTGACTGAATTTGTATTTTCGGCTTTAGCGTCGTCTTCTGCTGGACTGGCATATTGGTCGCAACTTTCGTCACAGCTTTAGGGATAGTAATCGACTGTTTTGTTACCCCAATTGGGGCCCGTTTCACATAACTGACATTAAGTTTAGTCGCAACTTTCACAGGTCCCCCTGGCCCAGGGCTGTTGTAATTAGGTTTGGGTTTCTTCTGGTTGCAACTCTTCAGAGCGTAGTTACATGAGGAGAGACAGTACCGGTCCGGGGGCAACCGTAAACCACAATGTGGCTTCACGAGAGGCAAAGGCGTGTAGTTTTTTATATTTGCGCATTCGAGCACCACCTCACGTGGGGGCGGCGTCGTGAAAGTCGATTCTGTGGTCAATTGTAGGGCTAGTTTAACGTCATCAACGTCCAGAAATTTCTTCTTAGGGTCGTTGTTGTTTGCATACATTCGAGCCTCCTCCAGGATTGAGGTTGCGTATCGGTAGACAAATTCAGTCAATTGGACTATTGTCTTGGGCTCGTATTCGGTAATTCCCATTTCTTTCATTATTGACATCACCACTTGTCCATCTTTTGGGATGTTTTTCGGTTGAGTTGGCTGGGGCTTGTCTTTTTCGGCCATGGCTCTAAATTAACAACAAAGCGGCAAAAATAAAATGGACTTCGATAAAACAAACAATTTATTACCAATAAAATTACTAATTAAGTTTCACACACGATGATTTTTGTAAAAAGTATTAATATTGTTTTATACTTGTGTTTACTACCAACATAAGTCGCGTAACCTGACCACCATTTTGTTACTAAAACAGCTGACTAGTGCCAACCTACAAAGATGACGACAAACACAAATTAAAAAAATTGATAAATGATCAAAAACTTTGGTCATGGCTTGGTTACAAAATTTGGCAGGGCGGGCCGAAGATTTGTTAAATAAAATTGACCAAAATGCTGCAACTGTTTTAAATGAGACTAAATTAATTGAGTGAGTATGGAAAAAATTAAAAAACAAACGAATTAATGCCCTTTTTTAGTGAAAATACAATGCCTACTAATCCGGATGAGAAAACTTATCAAGAAACAATTAATAACAGTTTAAAATTAAATTTCATTGCTGGACAAAGCAATACAATTGATTTAATTAAACTCACATTTGAAGAGGAGTTTAATGTGGCTGAAAATCATGATTACGGTACAGTATTGCAAATTAATTAAACATTTCATTGTTGTTTGATTTTAGACCTGGAACAATCATCAAAGGGGGACTCCCCGGGCCCTAAATCGATATCGTCTCACAACAGGTAAACCCTATGTCAGGCGTGACAAAATACTGATTTTAAGTTTAGTTTTATTTTAACCGAAGATGTGCAGTGTTATACTGACTCAATAAACAAATTGGAAATTGAAGTGCGAGATCTCAATAAGCAACTCTTAAATTTGCAACATCTGTATGCAGAATTACGCAATGAAAATGCAAACTTGAGAACCCAAATTGAAGCGTCGAATTATTTGGTCTCAACGGCGCAGTCTGAAATGGAGCAGTACAAGGCAAGGGCTCAGAGAATTTTGCAAGAAAAGGAAGACTTAATCCGGTTAAAAAATGAAAATAAATCGTCACAAAATGATCAGATCTTAACCAACTACAATGATGAATTGAAGTAAAGTTTCCGGTTTTGCAATCAAAGTAAATCATTTTATATTTTCAGAAAAGAGATTGACTTTCAGCAAAATCGCAACGTGGAGTTGACCGAGAAAGTCAAGAAATTAACTCAGGAAGTCTCCCATTTGCAACAACAAATGGTTTTGGTCCAAAATTCGTCGCAAAATTCGACCCAAATCCTCCAAGAGACTCTAGCTAGGGAGAAAAAAATTCGTCTTATGGCCGAGGACGAGTGCAGGATTAAAAACCAAGAGTTGCAACTCAAAATGCAAGAATTGGCTCAACACTATCAGATAATCCAATCAAAATCGGAAGAAATCAATAAGTTACAAGAAGCCCTCAAATGCAAATCAAACTCAAGTGGTTACACCGATTTTGAATCGCGGATTAAATCACTCACTGACACTCTCATGGTGAAACAAAACGCTTTAGAGAGAGTTACAACCGAGCGTAATGCTTTGCGAATACAACTCGAGAAGTTGGAAACTGAGTATCACAATAATTTGGCCCAACTTGAACGAGCACAAGTGCGTGTGATCAACGTGAATGACACGGATGATGGTTTGTTTTTAAATTTTCAGAAACCACTTTTAAATTATCTATTTTAGTCAAATCCCAAGTCCCTCAATTTATGAGAGTGTCCCCGTTTGATGCTGGGGTCACGAGACGAGTCAAACATGCGTATTCAACTGTTGATGCGATTAGTGTTAGGACGGGAATTTTCCTCCGGCGCTACCCTGTTGCAAGAGTTTTTGTTTTTTGTTATATGGTGAGTAACACTTATTGTATTCTTTGATTCATTTTTTTTTCAGGTTTTGTTACATTTTTGGGCCTTGATTCTACTCTTCCTGTATGCCCCAAGTAGCCGATAAGTTTTATACATAAAATAAAAAATTTATTACATTTGCGAATTTTATTTGTACCCTATTACAGTAAACTGTATTTGGAAGATGGCGCCACTTGAGGAACAAAATGAAATAAGCTGAAATGTTTATTTATTTATTTATTCAATTGGTTTATTTCTTTCATAATTAGCGCGACATTAAATCTTAACTTGTGGAATGTTTTAATGTTTAAATTGATAGTATATTTACGACCATTTTTCAATTGAAGGCACAATATTACACTCGTCGGCATTTTTTTAACAAGAGCACTGAAACAAAATTTGAAGTAAATATTACAACTAATTATTGTAACTACCTGTTAGTTAAACTAATATCAACTCTCCATTTTAACGAAACAAGTTTATTAAATTCGCCTCTTCTTGAACTCAAAATGGTATCCGTAACTTTGGTTCTGTTATTAATTAATGGCAATTCCTCAACAAATTCATTTGAAAATCCCAATTCCATTAACTTTGCGTTAAATTCTTTATCAGTAGATTCCACAAAAGTGCGAATAATTGCTAAATATATACCCAAAATTTCGATGATTTTTTCTTTAGATAAATTAAAATCATTTGATATTTTTTCTATGACTTTCAGGCGATCTTGTGTCGGAGACTGATTTATTGACAATGCCACTGAAAAAAAAAACGATTTGTAAAAATTAAAACTAGAAATTGTCACACCTTTCAGAATATTATTCCGGCACTCAGGGGGGCACTCTGATGTGGCCAATGCGACCGTTTTCGGTATTTCATTTAAATTCATAGTAAAAAATGGCACTAATTGTAAAAACTGAACTTTTTGTTACCTACTACATAGTAAGGTTAGGATTAGGTTTCAAGCAACGCTCCCTAAAATTTACATAATAATTAAAATGAAACGTTAAAAAACACTACAATAGAATTACAAACTTGAACCAAAATGACCACTACTTCATTTAATTAAAAAAAATTATTTGCAAAAAGTCTGATGTTTACAAACATTGAATTATCAAAAATTGTGATCGCCGATTAGATTGTGTAATACCCGGCTTGCCCAAAATTAATTAAAATAGCTGTTTTTTTATTTCTATCAAGCCGGTGTCTTCTTATTTGCCCAATTTAATTTCTGTGATTTTTTTGTAAAATTGTGAAACTGTCTATTTGTTTTATGTCAATGATTGTTTTGTCTTCGTGACTCGTCACGTGACAAATATGGCGTCTGGTCTTAAGTGGTTCAGTGGTTTGTGTTTTTGGCAAAAATCAAAATGTTGAAATAAAAAATAGCGCCAAATTGTGAAAAATCGATTTTTATTTATGTGTTTCATTGTGCGTGCACAGTTTGGCGTCAATTATAGTAGCACAAAGTAATAAAAAACCCCCGTGGAAATCGCGGGCTGATTTTGTCAATGTCTAACCTCACTTTCGCCAATGTTTTTGTTTATTAAAATTGTATCCCCCTGTCTCCTTTCGCATAATTCACTTATCTGTAATTGAATACATTCTTTCCGATTGCAATACCGCGGGTGAATCATGGAATTATTGCAGGTTTATTCACTTGCATTCGCGTCGCACTAACAAACAGAAGTGATGAACGAAGAGTAATATCATGGCAGAAGTTGCTTCTCCAAATAAAGATGGAAAAGACAGCGGCTCACCCAGTAAAGACAAGTTATTTGACCCTTCAGTTGACATGCTTGTTAATGATTTTGACGATGAGCGGACACTAGAAGAGGAAGAAGCACTAGCAGCAGGGGAATCTGAAGACCCCAACGCGGAACTCTCCAGCTTACAAAAAGTAAGTTTACTCAAATTCTGACCAAAAAACTAACTTTGACTTTCAGGAGAGTAATATGCCATTAGAGGAATTACTTGCATTGTACGGTTATCGTGGCGAAAATCAAGAAAACGAAAGTCCCGTTGACGAAGACCCTGACCCTTCTGAACCAATGGAAGAACAAGAGAGCGAAACTGACCCTCCAGACCAACCCTCAAAACTGCGAGCCCTCTACGAAAACATACCAGAGAACGACCAAGATGCGGCCCGATTATTACGCTGTAGGTTTTCCTCTATTTATACACAATTAAACACTCATTTTTCAGCCGTTTCACGAGTGAGCGAGGAAGAGGAAGAAGATTATGACTATAGCCCAGATGAAGATGAGTGGCGAAAGGTTAATAAGGTTATTTTCTTATTTTATTCATTACTAACATTTTGCCATGCATGAGCATGTAGATAGTTGAATGGTAGTCGTTGTGTAGTGTTTGAAATGTTAGTTTTGAATAATCGTACAATCAGAAAATCTGCCTGAATTTTTTGATTGTTGTAAATCAAGTATCATTATTTCGGTTTTTGTATTTTTCATTTTGCAGACTATTATGGTCGGGAGTGACTACCAGGCTCAAATTCCGGAAGGTTTGTGTCACTATGATGACGCTTTGCCCTACGAAAACGAAGATAAGCTTCTGTGGGATCCCTTGGTTATAAATTTGAACGTGACTGAGGACTTTTTGAAGAAAGCTTCGGAAATTTCGAAACCTCCGATTCCCATGGGAAGTCATTTGCGAGACGACGAACAAGCGTTGTATTTGTTACAACAGTGCGGGCACAACGTTGAGGAGGCGTTGAGACGTTTAAGAATGAACGTGGCCCCCAGTAGCGAAACGATGAGTCTTTGGTCGGAAGAAGAGTGTCGGAATTTTGAGGCCGGAGTCCGATGTTACGGCAAAAATTTCCACCTAATTCAACAAAATAAGGTAACTGAGAAATGAATAAAGTATTGCAAGAGTGTTGTTTTGTGTGACAATTTCTACGTATGTGCTTAAAGGTACGTACAAGGTCTGTGGGGGAGTTAGTTCAGTTCTATTATTTGTGGAAGAAATCGGAACGGCATGATATTTTTGCGAACAAAACCCGCTTGGAAAAAAAGAAATACACCCTACATCCGGGTCTTACTGATTTCATGGATAGATTTCTGGAAGATCAGGATGGTAGAGATAGGAGTTCTTCCCCCAATGTACAGTGCAGTGTGTCAGACAATAAAAAAAGTGTCACGGAAAATGTTACACAACAAACGAAATCGACTTCAGACGCATAGTCACCATTCTAAATTAGGCTTACTGCAATTTCAGTTTCTATCATGCTCTATCAAGCTCTATTTTAAATGTTCCTCTATGTCGCGGAACTCAGATTTGTTAATTTATTTATATTTTTATATTAATATATTTCACCAAAATTTTATTTTATACACGTATACATTATGTAAATAGGCTATTTTACTACTAGAATTTTATTTATACTTTGATTTTAAACCACTACAGTTTTGTGTACAGAATTTTAGGCCGCGCAATTTTATTATTTATTAATTCGAGTCGGTTATAGTATTTTTAATTAATCAATTTTAGGTTTCTTCAGTACATACGTAATTTAAGTTTTAAATTAGCATAATTAACACTAGTAAATTTGTCACATTTCTGGACCTTAATTGTGCAATTAGTATTCATCCAGTTTTATTTGATTTGAAATTAAATCAGGAAGCAATTAAGTAATGATTAAAGCAACTAGTCTTAGTCAGTTTGATGGGTGCAAGTCTAGTATTGTAATTGAATCGGTGACTTTTCTACCAAAGCAAATCGATTTATGTTATTTTACAAGTACTTAATTATCTTCAACTCGTAGTCTAGTCGGTTTAAGAAACGCGGTTGCTTCTTGATTGATTGATTTTGGTCCATAAATGTCCAATTTGTGAAATTTTAATTATAAGAGTAAATGGTAAATTGGGCATATTTTTACATCTAATTGTTTTTGTACAAACTATAATTCTAATAATTAGGATATAGATATAAAATCTTGCAAAGGTTAAATTTTAACACATACAAATTTGTTTTATCTCCTCGTACTAGAAATCAATCAATTATATATTTTCGACAACTATAATTTCCTGTGAAACACTTTGTTATATTTTTTAGATATATGGAAATATTTTTATTGCTTTGTGAGACTTTATCAAATGAATAAATAAAATCTATTTTTATTAATATTTCCATGTTTTTATTCGCCAAAATAATTAATCAGAGGGGAGAATTCAGCCCCCTCCACGTAATACATTATATACCTACATGGACCACACTATATGCTCCCGAATCGGTCAATAAACGTCCATGTACATTGCGAGTAAGAAAGAAATAGATTTTTTCAGAGCGGTGAACAAGGATAAAAAAGTGGTGCATACACGTGTAACCTTTAGATTTTTTGGGAAAACAATTATTTAACAACGAATTAAAACTAATAATTATGCAATGTTTTGTTTCATGAAGTAATGTCGAGTTTGTATAATTGTTTACCAAACAACGATGTGAATAATTGTTGTGGTGCAATTAAAAACACAAAGCACAATATTACGTAAATTCGATTGTTTGTTTTTTAGACTGGAGCATTTGAAATTACAAAAATTTTATTTACAATTCTCTCAATTTTTATTGCCGTTGAAAGTTTCATTATACAGGGGTGATTCGAAAAGTCGGATATAGGGGGCGGAGCTAATTGCTATGACACTATTGTGAAATCTCTCAATCAGTTTTGTTAAAAGTTTAATTGTTTTTATAGGGTGAATGTGTTGAAAATAAAAATGCGTATTAGAACTAAACAAAATTTATTTGATCATTTTTTCGTTAATTAGTAATACTGTTTAAAGTACAAAAATTGAAGATAGAATTTGAGTCGTGAAACTATGACGAGTATTAAATATAACATTAGATATAAAAAAAGTAGACAATTTGTAGTGATAACACATCGAATAGATAATATTAAATAAATATCAGTTCTGTTAATATAAAAGTAGTTGAACGTTTTTGGAAATGAGTCGCCCACTTACAAAGTATTTTGTGGTTCTCTCATCGTATGCAGTGATATGTGGGAAAAGGGAGAAGAAAATACTTGAAGAGCTATAACAAATGTTTATTTAAATGAATGACATGGGCTACAGCTATAACGATGAACCACACACTCAGAGTTTAACACACACACACACTCGACTGAGATCTGAATGTAGAATAATGCACGAAACCCTTGGCCTATCTAACATTCAAAGTTTAGAGAAAATACTTATGACAAAAAAATATCACCATTTACCCTGTGCAAGTCTCTGTTGTTGTCAAAATGCAAGTGACCAACTGTACTCAAGCGGACAGACTTGCTAGGTACTAGCTGAACATATGGTACAGGTACACAACATGAATACACAGTGACGGAAACCAATCAGAAGCCGCCCAAGTAGGGGGGGTAGCCAGGCGGGTGTGCAGGCGTAGGTTGGGGGTAACTATAGTAGGGGTAGTTGGGGCTGGGCATGTGCAAGCCTGGCCCATACCCTTGAGCATAGGGTAACTGCGGGTAAGCGAGCGGCATGGGTTCGTAACCACTCCAAGTGGGGGTAGGGTAGAGAGGATACCCCCCAGATGGGGGGTAGTTATACGGCACGGGACTAGCCCTCGACGTGTAATTATTAAACTGGCCGGAATATTGGTCTGGAGCCTCGCTAAGGGGCGTCTCCCCTTCAGTTATACTCGGTATTTGGTCGACGAGAGACTCCAAACCCGAGAGACTCTTCGAGGCTAGATCCTGGGGCTGTCGAGGTGACGCATACTGCGTCTCGTGGGAGGAGTCCATGTAATGGTAGGGATAGTGAGTCTGTTCACTGTTGGTCGACGGGGCGGGACTACTCAACCGACACTCCGCCTCCTCGGCCATGCTAGTGGGCGGTTCGAAATCCGGGGGGCCGAGACTAGGAGAAGCCGGTGATCCTAACTGTTCCGAACTAATCGCAGCGCTTATTTCCGAGCTGAGGTCGGAGTGGGTGAAAGGTTGGGAGTGAGGGCGGGGACTAGGGGCGTAGCCTTGTGGCTGGGGCGTGTACATGTTACTCGAACTGTTCGGGGGCGTAAGTGCGGGACCCATTTGGTAGAAATTTGGGGATTGGATTGGTGACGGATTCGAGTAACACTGAGACATGTTGGTCGATGTATTGTTGTCTGGTGGGGGGATGTCCATGTTCTCGACTTTGACTTTTTTAGGCCGGCCTCTTTTCTTTTTGGGGAAATCACAGTTGGTCGGTGGCGATTTGCGAACCACCGGTTTTGGGGGCGGCTCTTCGCCTTCGACTTTGATTTTCTTAGGTCGACCCCGCTTCTTTTTGCACGGTACAATAGTACCGTCTTCTTTTTTAATCACAGCATTACTTATGTCAGTGAGTTCGGTGGAATATGGATCGGGTTTTGGTTCGGCTTCGTAGCAGGATTTCACACGAGGCTCGGAAAAAACCATTTCCGATTCGTCGATTTCGGTTATTACGCCGTTCAAATAATCGCGGAATTTCTTCAAAGCGGCGTAAAACGGTACTTTATCGGCCGCTCGAGGAAGCTGCGCACATCGAGCGCTCGACGATGGCATCACCCACATGTACTGAAGAAAATAACAAATAAAAATTAACATTATAGAGTTTTTTTAACATTCTCCCGGCTTTATAACTCACCGTGTTTGTGCCGTCGACAAGGTCGGGTTGTCGTCCAAACTTAAAATCCTTTTTGCCGGAGAAGACTTCATAGATCAGTTTACCGTTAAAAACGGCAATCTTAGGTCGAAATTTTCGTAATTTTTCTAATAATATTTGACTACCCTCCTTAATTTCCTTACGAGTTAAATCAGCGCTACCCTTGGTTGCACGCTGTACCATATTTGTAAAGCCAATGCCTACTTGAAGTAATTTATAATCTTCATCAGCCGATACTTGTTGTTGTGTTAATCCTGATAAATATAAACATTTCCAAAAATGGTTTCCAGGACCGGCATAATGATGACCTTTATAGGCCGCAAATAAGCCTGGGTTTATCCCAATCTGCGAAATTATCAATCAATAAATCAACCATCCATTCAAAAAATCACTTACAATGATTATATCTAAATTTTCGGTCAGATGATCCGGCAATGTTCGTTTAGATACCTCCTCTTCAGGCATACCATTAAATCGATCGTGCTTTTTTCGCTCCTTTATAGGCCGAGGAATTCCACCATTCATATCTTGATTATAACCCGGCCTAGCAAAATGCACACTTTAGAAAACAGAAAATTCCTACAAAAAATCAAGACTTTGCATTTGTGGAAAACCCAAACAAAACAACTAATTAATTATGCGAATAAAATGCTAAAAATGATTTATTCCGAGTGACAAAACAGAGTGACGTGTTTATTATTTGATTAAGTTGATTTTTGCCCCCTTTTCGCACGCCACTGGCCGGATACAACTGAATCACCGATGGCATTGGATAAGTTTATGAATTTAGGTTGGCCATCCTTAGCACACTTTCACTTGGTATTTTTTGATTTTTGGACTTACTGGTCTGGTTTAATCTTCTTTTTTCTTCCCCTTTTCTTGGGTCCTGTTGGTATGAGTTGGTTGTTGAGCGGGGGCATAGGATTGACAAGATGAGGAGGCCCTTGTGCAGCCGCAGGAAGCATCGGAATAGGATCATCGTCAATAAAACTGTAAGGATCTTCGAGTTTTTCACATTTCACTTCATGATTAACACTGGCAGTGTTTGAAAGCAACATATCAGCACTAGTTTCATAACCATCATCATGGGGTTCAAGTTTCATGTTTCTACACATAAAAACACAACCATTAACGTTGTTTAGAAACACTTTCAGTGGCAGAAATGGAGGCACTTGGTAGAAACATCATGCAGGATGCACAGTTTTACGATTTTACATCGGTTTCGGTTGCTGGTTAACTTGTTACAAGCCAAGGTCTTTTAAGGGTTGTTCAAGGCTGTTTTTAACTAGGCAACACGTAAACACTGAAGGCTGGCTGGTCGTCATGCAGAAAAGCCTTTGAAGCAGGGGGTATATAGAGTGTCTCAAAAAAAACCATCGACCGGATTTCTGGGATGCAATTTCGGAGACTAAAATGTCGATTGAGTAATATTGTTTCGAAATAGCAAAAGAGTAGGCGTTGGAGGTCGCATTTGGGGTCAGGAGGTGTTTACATGCTGCTCGTTGTTGTGTTTTGTACTTACAGCTTGTACTTGTTGGAGAAGGTCACCGGGTGGTTGTTGTAGTCGTAGGTAGCGATGGGTCCGGGTGGTAATCCGGAGACTCCGGAGTCTGGGGCTCCGGTGGTGGCGCCGCCACCGCTGCCTCCGCCCGCCTCCATAGTGGCTCCCAGCAAAGTGGAGGACTCGCGGAAAAGAGTTGCCACCTGCATCGGCGGTCGTCCCGAGCTGTCGCTCGTCCAAAAACGCAAAAACCGCACACACGTTACATCTAGCTCCTACACTAGCTTTAGAAAAACCCAACAACAACCTCACCCTTTAAAAATAGTCCCAACTCTGTGATTGGTTCAACGAACGTTTCGGAAAAATCAATAGAATGTTATCGGCCTGTATTTTTGTGGAAGCCTTGTTCCGGAGCTCATTGTCGGTGTCTCCGTCGGCGTCGCTTTCTCCGACGCCTGACGTCGCTTTTTCATCAGCGCATTCTAGGAAAAAATACACTAAACTAAAAAAAATCATAATGATATTATTTCAATACACACGAAAAGAAAACTGCAATGCCACAACTACGTCTACTCTCCACAGAGGGCAACCGTTTTTCAAACATCCCTGTATATTGCGCGAAACATTTTTTATAACTAAAATTCGTTAACTTTCCAGAAACAAATAACTTGTTTCCATTTTTTAATTGGCTTTGCGCCACTAAATAGATGATTTAAAGAAGATTTTGATGTTTATTCGGTTTTTAGCTCTAAATCCGATAGTTTCTTAGTAAAAAGAATTTAGAAGTTTCACAATTTTTACTTTTTCTAAAATGTGTGTTTGTTCGACGCATAGTCGAATTTATATTTCGATATTTTTGACTTTATCAGAAATTTTCTCGATAACTGTTTATCGTAAAATACTGATTTTTTTTGTATATGATAGAAAATTAAATTTTCTTTCCAACGGTACCAAAATTGATCCATATAACGTTTATTACATTTCTAGAAGTCCTAAAAACTTAAAAAAGTGCATAAAACGTTATTGGGTCGTAAAAACGCTTAAAATATGGTTTTCTAGACATAAAATTACACGCTGAACACGACGCAACAAGTTAAAATACTCTACGATGCATAGTTTTTGAGACATCGAGTAATAAAGTTAAGAATAAGGCTAGTAGCACTATATCCGATTCTGACCAAAAAATAAAAAAAATTATCCTCATGAAAATCTAGTACTGTATGTAAAATTAACCGTAGAACACGTCTGTTTAAACCGTTTTGACTTAAGACTCATGGTTTTTGAAATATGACATTTTTTTGAAAAAAACGAAAAATGGCTCCGTATCCGGAACCATAACCCGGAGCAACTTCCGGTTTGCGCCATTAAATAGATAATTTAATTTTAATTTTAAAGATTTCAGCTTTTTGCTCTAAGTCTTATAGTTTCGTAGAAAAACGCATTTAAAATTTCAAAATTTTGAAACTTGTGTTAACAAATTTTTTTTTTATTTTGTAAATTGCGGCAAAACTGTATCTCAATTATGTAATCTTTTGACGTAAACCTGTGTAAAATGCTCCGGGGAATAGATTGGCGTCAAAAAAACTGCAAAACTCGTACTGGTTTTGAAGTTATAGTCAAATTTATATTTTTGAAATATTTAATTTTAACAGAAATTTTCTCGATAACTGTTTATTCTAGAATACTGATCTTTTATGTATATGACAGAAAATTTAATTTTCTTTCCAACAGTATCAAACATAAGAGGTTATCACCAATAAGTCCGGAGTTTTTGGCAATAGACCGCTCCGGGTGCCAAAAATCGACCAAAATCTCGACATTTTTAACTTTATTTTTATCATTTTAACTTTAAAATTGATCTTTATAACGTTTTTAACATTTCTAGAGGTCTTAAAGACTCAAAAAATGCATAGAACGTGATTGCGTCAAGTTTAAAAAACAACGAATTTTTTGAGTTTTTGAAGTCGACCGGTAATAAAATTAAAGACTCAAAAAAAGACAAAAACGGTGTAAAAAAAACTCAGAAATGTGTATAAAATGTTACAGGGTCGAGTTAAAAAAAACATTTTTTTTGAGTTTTTGTAAGTTGTATTGTGAAAATGGTCGAGGAACTTTTTCTCGCCAAAATGCTTGAAATATGGTATTCTAAACGTAAAATTACAACAGTTTGTAAGTTGAGAGTTCAAAATTGTGCGTTTGACAAAATTTGAACAAATTATTGTTTTCTTTAATTTACAGACAATAATATTGTTGAATAAATGTGGCTTTCCAGCTTGCAAAACTAAACTACGCGCGGTGTTGTCAAATTTACCACAGCCCAAGAATTAAGAAATTTAAATTTGATTATGTATAACCCCTGCGTAAGGAAAAAAAACAATTTACGAGATTTTTGTTATAATAATGAATTGAATATAATTTTCCCTTATTAAAAACAAGTACACAAGTCTGTCAACGCTGTACACATGTTAGTGATGTTCCCTACTAGAGAGCAGCACAATGTTTAATTTGACAGCTGACAGTGTTAAATTAGAAAAAAAAAAAGAATAAAAATGGTAATTGTTGGCAAGGTAACTCCATTGTTAATATTTATTTGTGTATATTTTGTATAGTATTGAGGATCAGTGAGGATTTCCCTCGGGACAATCTACATGTTTGAGAAATCGTCTCCTTGTTTTCCAAAATGTGGCATTAGAAACTCATATTTAGACCTAAATGCGTGACAAGCGTAAAAACAATGGGTAATTGCTTGAAACGGTCGACAACAGATGACATTTCGCTGTTGAGAGGCAGCGACAGCGTACGCGAGTCCTCCTCCGAGCAGCTGGGGCCCCCCAACTACCAGGTACGTACAAGGGGCCCACAGGAAACTCACCCATTCCCAAGTGTCCAACACAAAAAAGCATCCGGTTTCATGTTCCACATTTCTGCGATTTTCTCAATTTATTGATTTATTGTAATGTTTATTGTTTCAACTTCGGTCACAAGCCACACTACTGATTACAAAAACAAACAAACATCATCTAGAATTACAAAACAATGCGAGGTTTCTATCAAGACGAAAAATATTGTCATTACAAAGTACTGCTAGTTTTTAGAAAAAAAAATTCTTTGTTCTCATAATTTCAAAAAAATTGTTAAAAATGTTCCCATTTTGTTTTGTTTTGATTAAACAGTAACCGATATCAGGACATTACAATTTTACCTGTTAGAGTTTTTTTTACACTTCACTTATTTTTTTATTTTAATGTGCATCAAGTAGGTTGTAGAAGTCTAAATGTCATTCAAAACAAATTTGATCACATCAAAATTGACAAAAAAACTTTCAAGTTTGCTACCCTATGTTAATTATCTTGTTGATTTTAATTATTTTTTGCTACCTGGGAACTTGGGGTACACATTTATTACGCAAAAATAATTTTTAGGGAAGATTGAGGTTAGGATTGTTTGAATTTTTTCAACGCCAACTTGAAAACTCGTATATTGTGTTTGAAAAGTGGGGTAATGTTTGCAGGAGCCCCTCCCCATCCAGGCGGCTTCGCCCGTGTACCACCCGTCGCCCAGTGTGACCCGTTCGGTGGCGCAGCTGACTGAGGAAGAGCAAGTGAAGATTGCAAAACGTATAGGCCTGATCCAGCACCTGCCGACGGGTTTATACGATGGGTGTAAGAAGGCCCGCGAGTGTGTGATTTGCATGGTGGAGTTCCTCGTCGGAGACGCTCTCCGATACCTCCCCTGCATGCACACGTATCATATGAGTTGCATCGATGATTGGCTAATGAGGAGTCTGACGTGCCCCAGCTGCATGGAGCCCGTCGACGCGGCTCTGCTCACCAGTTACGAGACCAATTGACAGCCAGTGCCTTGCAACTGATCGGGAAACTGTGATCTGAACTGTTAAGGGCGTGAATGGAGAGTGGCTGTGATCCTCATTTAGCTACTTATAGCTCACGCTTGTAACTAGCTACTTGAGATGACTGTATATAAGTAGAGGTAGCAGTCTGTTTATTATAAGTTACTTGGTTTTAAGTGGTGATTGTCTGATCAAACTGCACACGAAAGCAGCTATAACCGAGCAAACTCATTCAAAACTGTTCACCAGTCATTATTTTATTATATCACATTGTTAGAGTAGATAGGAAAATGGAAGTGGTTACAGCATATTTTAAAGCTTCATCTGTCGAATTTTAGACACAATAGACTTAAGGACAAACTAACCAACATTTTATCTAACATCACGTCATTGTGATAGCCATTTAGGAATAGTTTACGATAAAAAAGTGCATTTTTACTCAAAGCTGCAGTACAGGGTGGTTTTCATTTTTTGCTCCACTCTTAGCTTTTTTCATTTTTTTAGATAGCGAAGCGGTCTGTATTTTTATTTATTTTTATCCTCGCCTGTGTCCAGGCCCGTAACTAGGGCCTCCATAATTTTTACTGGGGCTAGAACAGTGAAGTTTTTTCAAAAAAAGCCCGATTTTATTTTTTTAAATGACAGTGACATTTATGACGTCATTCGATTTTGAGTTGTGACGTCATTTAATGACAACTGACATTTTTGTTCACTGTTTTAAATATCAATCTTTATCTTTCTGGTATTAAATAAAAAATTAGAGAAATAAAATTAACAAATTAATCACAATCTTGCCTTATTTTATAAGGGACAAACAAGAACAAGAAGATGAAGCTCTTTGTATAAAAATTTCTATAATTTTTTTTTGTGCTTTATTCTTTTGAATTTATTTATGCTCTACAGAAAGATAACGATGTGTACTATCTAAAATGACGTCATAAATGTCACTAGTGTCAAAATTAAATCGACTTGTTGTGGGATTTTTTTGAAAAATGACTCATAACAAAGATTGAATTTTGTGTTACTTGTTGTTAAAAAGACAGTAAAGTTGGGCCCCCACTAGCTACGGGCCTCAAGTGTTTTTTTTGTGTGTGAAACGGGATTTTTGCCACTTTCCCCAATCCGTTCAGATTTTCATTACTTAAAACTTGAGCGGAAGTACGTCCAGTTCATAGTCTCGTATTATTTCTAAATAAGTGATATATCAGTAGCTTGTTATGATGCAATCTACTCTTCTTCGCTGTTATATGTTTTATTTTGAATGATGAAAAAATTTTAATATTGACTAGGAATACTTACAAGTTTTATACAATAATGTATAGAAATTTCGAAGTGATAGGTATACATATATATATATATCGGTTACGTTGGTGTGCTGTGCTTACAGATCAGTTAGATATACTGAAGGTGTTATATTTAGTACTATGCAATTATTTCTATTACTACTAGCTGAAACGTCTCAACAAGAATCAAACATTGTTCATATTACCTTTGTTCATAATAATAAATATGGAAATGTGATATGGTTTTTAATTCTACTAATTTTGTATTATTAATATTTTGTTTAAGTTTTACACATTTTAACATTATTCCCAACAACAAATTGTACAGTTTCTATTCTGAGTGTTAAATACAATTTCATACAAAATATCTAAATAATAACATTAAAAAACATCATGCTTTTTCTTTTCCCGGCACTTTTTATTTTAACAAAAACGGCAGCAGGTCATTCACACAATTCGTGTTTATTGTACAATTACAGATGTAATATGACTAATACTAAAAACATCCGAAGATATTTTTTAAATTGATATAATTATGAAGCAATAAACAATATTTTATAGTACGGTATTTGATTATTAATTTGTTTTGTTTCAATTATCTGATTGAAGGAAAATTACAAAAATCACTAAATAACAAATTGACTAAAACAGTTTTGGTGTATAATTAGTTGCGTTACTACTATACTACGTTTGAAGCAAATTGCATCAGAATCATTGATAATCAGATGCGTACTCACGCCAATGATTTTGATACGGATTATTGTTAGAAAAAAATAGTTTTTCATTGATAAAAAAACAGGCGCGTGTGACATTAGTTGAGGAACATGCGGATGATTAATATGCATGTTAAAAGATTATGACATCTAGATCACCTTTTGAGCATTCCTTGACCTGTGACCTAATAAAACATCGTTACAATGTTGGTAGCACGCGACGAAGACATTTCAAATTGAATTCCTTGAAACGTGAGACGTAATTATTTGTCATTGTGCAGGGCCTACGGAGGAACCAAATTTTATCGCTGTTCCCACAATTGCTCAATTATTTTTATTGTGTAATAATTACAAATTAATTTGTACTTTGTACAGTGATACAAAGGAAATGTCGCACCACTTTGATCAAAATGTGAAAGGAGGGGAATTCCCTAACCGTTCCAACAGGCTCGCGTGTACCTAATAATTAATAATTATAGAACTGCGTATTTACAATGAGTTTATTTTAAGTAATAAGCGTGGTGTAGAGTTCATATTCACAGTATCATTTTTAAAACAAATTGCAATCATATCTTGGAGTATTCAAAACAGTAAACAGGAATACATCTAATGATTTACTACTGCGCAGGAGTTAATCAGTTATTTTGACTTTCGTGTCAAAGTTAAATAATCTCAAATCTTCAATTCTTTGATCTGACATGTTTGTAACTCATTGGCAGAATTATAGTAAAATTGATTAAATTGGGTTCAAGGTTGCGGGAAAAACAGTTCCAAGTAATTTACTGGACCAAAAAAATATTTAAACCCTGTCTTGTTTCGTTAATTAATCGATTATTGTGAAAACAACAAGAATTTTAATGAAAAATATGTTGTCCTGGTCAGGAATTACAATAAATATTCAAACTGATAAGTGCATTTTGAGTTAATTATTTTATTGAGTGTGCTTATGCCGTTTATCACATCGATACTTAAAAATATAATTGTTTTGAAAACAATTAATCTGTTGACCTGGCTCAAACTAATTATTATTTTCAGAGGCCACTTTGATTAAATATTTACTATGTAAACAATAACACGGAGCCAATTTGTCACGTTTTTTTTATTAAAAAATGAATAGGACAAAATAAGTTCTCTATACTCAACTATCATTAATATCTATTGTCCCTCATTATAATAATAATGATGAGAGGAATTAAAAAAAAAATTGGTTGATGTTGGATAGGCCCCTACCACGTCGATAAAGTGGTGGCCGTGTTTCTCGAACTCTGACAATAGAAATGCAAAGATGTTGCAAATTTCGTCATGCTTGGCGAAATGTTTAGCAATAATTAATTACATGTTAAATATTAAACAGAATTAAGTGATAACATTTGCTACACACGAATTGGGTTAATCCTCTCATTTAATTTACAAATTTGAAAATGATAAGATATAGAAACCCGAGTACGCGGAAGTTTAGAAAATGATTATCACATTTTTGCGATTTGTACCTTTAATGTAGTGTAAGGGATAACGAGTTCAAATTTTTTCTAGCGTAATAACTTTCTTAGATAATGATAATATCATGAGTCATGTCGAGGCCATAGTACAGGTCCGGGATCGTCACCCATCTTTGTATCGATTTGAAAGTACCCGCCTGTCACTGTCAAAAAGAAGTGACAATCGCAATTAAAAAAAATTATCACTTAAATGTCAATTTCGTGATATTTTATCACTTGAGACATTCCAATGAAATCGTTTTGAATGTTGAACTCTTGAGAAAAAAGCATATCGGCGTTTTTTTTAATATTTGTGGATATGTTTCGACATAAAAAAATTGTTTTTCACTTCCTAGTAACATGGAGCTTTTCCACTAGGAGAACGCTACTTTGCTAAATTGCTAATTTCATTTCATTTATCACTTGGGTTGCATTTAATTGATCTACTCAAATTTCAAACTTGAACTTTGGCCTGATTTTTCGAAACGAATTACGTAATTTTAACTAAAATTGAGCCTTCAATTTTAGAATTTCTCGATGCCAATATATTTCATTTTACGAAGATACAAAAGTCAACTAAGTGACCCGTAACCTCCTCTACTCAGAAGCATACTTTTGCCGCATGTTTTTGATATTGTAATCCCCTTTTACGAGATTAAAGGACATTCCTTTCTACTTCACTCCAAAATTAATTTCAGTCTTTGATGATAAACAATAGAACTAACAAGCTATTTTAGGGAAGTAAACATCTAGGAAGCTATTTATAAAAATAAAATATGAAAAAAATTATCACGAAATTTCACAATAATAAAACACAAAAATCTTCCAAATTTCTTTGATTCGGCAAATTCGGCAAATAAAAGCAAAGATAAAAGACGTTTAAAGTAAACAAGCAGATATCAGGGAATTGTAAAGCTCTCTGAAAACAGAATCAGAGAACAAATAATTCAAAGATTCAATCCATCATTATGTTTGTTTTGCCACAAAAACCAATAAAACATCTTTTCTTTCTAGCATTTTGTAAAATTTTTAATTTTTTTGCCCTTCCAACATTTGCACAATTTTTTTAATTGTATTACGTCTTAAAATTATTTCATTCTTTAAAACTGTTTCAAATTTCTGCTTGTATAAAGTATACACAATACACAATATATTTTTTTGGAGAAGTAAAAATGTCTGCGACAGGAAAACTGAGTTATAACCATTTTTTTTTAAACCATTAAAAAGATCACATTAGCCTTGGAATTTGATAGTTGATAATCTTAATATACCTTAGAAGATTCTTGGAATTTTCGGTTATCAAAAGAAAAAAAAAGTTTTTTTGCTACATGCTATTTGAAAAAGAAATAAGGAATCTGTATCCTTAATTGTAACTCTGTTTAATGTTATTTGTGTTTTTTTTTGGCAAAAAAAACATATACAAGATCATCAGTATCATGAAATAGAGATAAAAATGTCAAATGTCAAAAAATATATGTCAAAAATTTTTGACAGTTAGAATTTTTTAAACATTTTTTCCATGTTCCTGGTATCTTATCTTGAAATTTTTCTCTGGGGCGCGAGTTCTAACGCACCCGGTATACAAAATCATCAGTATTATTAAATAAACATAAGAAAATGTCAAATGTTAAAAAATAAACACTTGTTTTTTAATCGAGCTTCTAATATACTATTTTTATCTTAAACACATTTTACATTTTTCTAAATTAAATCAAAATTTTTACTTACTTTTACTTTTAAGTATTCACTCTCAAAAAATCAAGAGTTTTATAATATTTGCGATTTTCTCAAAAACTGTTCGTTGCAGAACAATGAGCTTTATTATAAAACAGGAAATTTAGTTTGCATTTGAATAACACAAAACACACAAAAAGTTATCAATTGATAACTGAGTTATAAGTTACTGGTACCGAAAATCGACCAAAATTTTTAGAAAAATTGAAAACATTAAATTTGAACCAAATTTTTCCTAGAGACACAGAAAATCTTCTAAAATGTCTTAGAAACGTGAAAAAAATTCTTTGAAAAATGTTGACATAAATCTGAAAAATTGAAAATTTCAAAATTTAACTCAATGCTTCCCAGAGGTCAAAAAGACACACATTTTTTTGTACATGTGAATATATTGGATTAGAACAAAGAGACTGTAGGTGGCGGCGTGGCTTAGCGGCATAAGGCAAACGGTATATGCAGGCGTTCAGTTAATTTGATAAGATTTGAGTTTGACAAAAGCAAAAAGTCATTTAAAAGCTGATACTTTTTTTCCCGAGATGACATATTTTTTAATGCCAATTAGGCAAAATAAATTACGTTGAAAAACAGTGTTTGGGATTTTTTCTAGTCGACAAGCTTTTTTGTTACGAATTGTTAAAGTCCGTCCCTGATGGTGAATAAGTAATTCTTCAATACAAGATTTTAAATAAATAAAATGTGTGACATTGTTTTTTGTTTAACATGAAATTTTGTTAATTAATCGCAATGATATAGATTGTTTACAGCGACATGAGAAAAATGTGAAACGTCGTAAATACCTAAAAAACAATTTTTTGTTTCTATAATCAAAACTTAATTTTTTTATTAAAATTGATGTTTACTATTATCGAACCATAGTTCGAAGATCGTCTGTCACTAACCTTGTTTCTTCGAGTTGTGCAAGGCACAATAAATAATACATAGTAAAAATAATAAATGCACAGTAAAAATAATAAACGCACAGTAAAATATTACTATGCAAACTGGATTTTTTTATTGAACAAATTACAATAAAATAATGTGGGTGTTTTACTTAGCTTTTATTACAAACGTATCCCTTTTGAGTTTCAAGTTTACTATTTTAATTTGGGTAGAAATTAAATGCACAGTATATTATTTAAACGACAAGCATTTTTGATCAGCAAAAATAATAAATGCACAGTAAAATAATAAATGCACACCAAAAATAATAAACGCACAGTAAAATAATAAATGCACAGTAAAAATAATAAATGCACAGTAAAAATAATAAATGCACAGTAAAAATAATGAATGCACAGTAATAATAAATGACGTTCTTGGGCAAGGGGCCATACACTGTTATGTAAGCAAGACTGAAAATTCTTAAAATTTTATGCTGTTTTACTAATCTTGATTGAAGTTACTGAGCTTTTATTATTTTTACTGTGCAAATTGGATTTTTTTACTGAACAAATTACAATAAAATACTGTGCGTGCTTTACTTAGTAATTATTACAAACATATCCCTTTTGGGTTTCAAGTTTACAATTTTAATTTGGGAGCAAATTAAATGCACAAGACAAGCATTTTTGATCAGTAAAAATAATAAGTGCGGAGTAAAAATAATAAATGCACAGTAAAAATAATAAACGCACAGTAAAATAATAAATGCACAGTAAAAATAATAAATGCACAGTAATAATAAATGACGTTCTTGGGCAGGGGGGCATACATTGCTACGTAACCAAGACTGAAAATTCTTTAAATTTTATGTTTTACTAATCTTGATTAAAGTTACTGAGTGTTTATTGGGCCATTCATTGTTATATAACCAAGACTTGATTAAAGTTACTGAGTGTTTATTGGGCCATTCATTGTTATATAACCAAGACTGAAAATTCTTTAAATTTTATGTTGTTTTACTAATTTTGCTTAAATTTACTGTGCGTTTATTATTTTTACTTTGCAAATTGAATTTTTTACTGAACAAATTATAACAAAATACTGTAGCATTTATTAAAAGCATATCCCTTTTGGGTTTCAAGTTTACAATTTTAATTTGGGAACAAATCAGTAAAAATAATAAATGCACAGTAAAACAATAAGTGCACTGTAAAGTAATAAATGCACAGTAAAAATAAATAACGTTCTTGGGCAGGGGCCATACATTGTTATGTAACCAAGACTAAAAATTCTTTAAATTTTCTATTGTTTTACTAATTTTGATTAAAATTACTGAGTGTTTATTATTTTTATTGTGCAAATTGGACTTTTTTATTGAACAAATTACAGTAAAATACTGTGACCGGTTTGAGGTTTGAAACGTTCATCTTTGGGATTTTTTCTAGTCGACAAGCTTTTTTGTTACGAATTGTTAAAAGTCCGGCTCTGACGGTGAAGAAGTAAGTAATTCGTCAATACAAGATTTTAAATAAATAAAATGTGTGACATTGTTTTTTGTTTAACATGAAATTTTGTTAATTAATCGCAATGATAAAGATTGTTTACAGCGATATGAGAAAAATGTGAAACGTTGTAAATACCTAAAAAACAATTTTTTGTTTGTATATTCAAAACTTAATTTTTTTATTAAAATTGATGTTTACTATTATCAACTAGCCTTGTGCAAGGCCTTGGAGCCGCAAGTCAAGTCGATGTACTTAAATTTTCCCGGAGCGAAAATCCGGGAGAGGTGTCACACAGAGGCCTCCACGTGGCCCTCTTCTATTCCGCATTCCTACATTACATAACGCTCCTGTCCACGTGCTGAAACCCGAAATCGGTATCATCTAATTTGACATAACGGCTACTCTAGTTTTGATAGAACCTCAGGTTCAAGGTTCATTTCTATCATCCGTTACAGAAATGCTAAGAAGTTGAGAGTGGGGAATTAAATCGCTGTGTTTTAAGAGTGCACTTCTCGGCACCAATCTAGTTTAAAATCATCTGTAAACAAAGCAAAATGGGCACCAGAGCCGTTTTGGTGTTGCTGTTCTTCCTCTCGGTGGGACGCAGTGATCGAAGTTTGCGGTCGGTTTTTGGTGCGATTTTCGTTCCGGGCACTCAGTTCGGCCAATCGGAGAACAGTGTGGCCGATGAAGCACCAAACGTGCCCCCAATGGCCTATTCGGTCACTGAAAAGGAGTTCACGGCTTTGCGGATCGAATACATCAAAAACCAAATACTGAAAAAGCTCAGGTTGAAGGAGAAGCCCACTGTGGCTATAGCCGAGTTGCCTAAACCTGTCAAGGAGTACGACAATCTGATACCTGACCACGATGATAATTTACATAGTGGCTACTCGGAGGATTTCTACGGGAAGACCACACAAGCTATCATCTTCCCTTATGAAGGTATGGAAATTGCACTTTGCTCGTTTTACTGTAAACAAGTATCATAGTTCGAAATTCCACTTGGAATCCCAGTAAACAATACAAGTAACCTTCTTTATCTCCACGATAAAATTTTCTCTGCAATTATTACAAACAAGACGTTTTTTTTCCTTATAGGAAGAAGACACACAGACTAACCCAATTTCTCTAACTCAATTCGGCCTTGTTACAATGTTATTTATCAATAAATCTCTAATTTCTATAACCCTGAGTTTTGTTCTTGTTTACTATAGTTTACTACTTTGTAATCGCACCATAGTCAGTATAAGACGCTAAAGCACTGACTCAAACCAAAACAGAAGAACTCTAAATACAGGTTATCAACCATGCCTGATCAGAACAACAGACCAAATTTTGTTTTTTTGTTTTAGATGAAGCTCGCTGTTTGCGAAAAATTCGCTTTCCTTCAGTTTGCGTCCCTTTCGAAATGCCTACTGATATCCACTCTACTGATGTTAGCACAGCTGAACTTTGGTTTCACAAAGAACCCGATAATCTCGACTCCCATAATCAAACTTTCGTGGTATCGGAAGTGGCCCATTGGGATACCAATAAAAGTTTCCAGAAAACCAAGCCCATAGCAATCCAAGAAACGAGTCTCACAGGTACGAACACCCCTTTTGGGTTTCAAGTTTACAATTTTAATTTAGGAATAAAATGCACAGTAAAAATAATAAATGTACATTAAATTAATAAATCCACAGTAAAATAATAAATGCGCAATAATAATAAATAACGTTCTTCGACAGGAGCCATACATTGTTATGTATGTATAATTTTGATGTAAGTTACTGAGCGTTTATTATTTTTACTGTGCAAATTGGATTTTTTTACTGAACAAATTACAATAAAATACTATGCGTACTTTACTTAGCATTTATTACAAACATCCCTTTTGGGTTTCAAGTTTACAATTTTAATTTGGAAACAAATTAAATGCACAGTATTTTATTTAAACGACAAGTATTTTTGATGAGTAAAAATAATAAATGCACAGTAAAAATAATAAACGCACAGTAAAATAATAAATGCACAGTAAAAATAATAAATTCACAGTAAAAATAATAAATGCCCAGTAAAAATAATGAATGCACAGTAATAATAAATGACGTTCTTGGGCAAGGGGCCATACACTGTTATGTAAGCAAGACTGAAAATTCTTAAAATTTTATGCTGTTTTACTAATCTTGATTGAAGTTACTGAACTTTTATTATTTTTACTGTGCAAATTGGATTTTTTTACTGAACAAATTACAATAAAATACTGTGCGTGCTTTACTTAGTAATTATTACAAACATATCCCTTTTGGGTTTCAAGTTTACAATTTTAATTTGGGAGCAAATTAAATGCACAAGACAAGCATTTTTGATCAGTAAAAATAATAAGTGCGGAGTAAAAATAATAAATGCACAGTAAAAATAATAAACGCACAGTAAAATAATAAATGCACAGTAAAAATAATAAATGTACAGTAATAATAAATGACGTTCTTGGGCAGGGGGGCATACATTGCTACGTAACCAAGACTGAAAATTCTTTAAATTTTATTATGTTTTACTAATCTTGATTAAAGTTACTGAGTGTTTATTATTTTTATTGTGCAAATTGGACTTTTTTATTGAACAAATTACAGTAAAATACTGTGACCGGTTTGAGGTTTGAAACGTTTATCTTTGGGATTTTTTCTAGTCGACAAGCTTTTTTGTTACGAATTGTTAAAAGTCCGGCTCTGATGGTGGCATTTTTCATCAGTAAAAATAATAAATGCACAGTAAAATAATAAGTGCACAGTAAAATAATAAATACAAAATAATCAAAACCAAAAATAATAAGCGCACAGTAAAATAATAAATGCACAGTAAAAATAATGAATGCACAGTAATAATAAATGACGTTCTTGGGCAAGGGGCCATTCATTGTTATGTAACCAAGACTGAAAATTCTTAAAATTTTATGCTGTTTTACTAATCTTGATTGAAGTTACTGAGCTTTTATTATTTTTACTGTGCAAATTGGATTTTGTTACTGAACAAATTACAATAAAATACTATGCGTGCTTTACTTAGCATTTATTACAAACATGTCCTTTTTGGGTTTCAAGTTTACAATTTTACTTTGGGAACAAATGAAATACACAGTATATTATTTAAACGAGAAGCATTTTTGATTAGTAAAAATGATAAGTGCACAGTAAAAATAATAAATGCACAGTAAAAATAATAAACGTTCAGTAAAATAATAAATGCACAGTAATAATAAATGACGTTCTTGAGCAAGGGGCCATACATTGTTATGTAATCAAGACTGAAAATTCTTTAAATTTTATGTTGTTTTACTAATTTTGAATAAATTTACTGAACGTTTATTATTTTCACTGTGTAAATTGGATTTTTTACTGAACAAATTACAATAAAATAGTGTAGCACTTATTACAAACATATTTCTTTTGGGTTTCAAGTTTACAATTTTAATTTGGGAACAAATTAAATGCACAGTATATTATTATTTAAACGACAAGCATTTTTGATCAGTAAAAATTATAAATGTACAGTAAAACAATAAGTGCGCAGTAAAAATAATAAACGCATAGTAAAATAATAAATGCACAGTAAAATAATAAATGCACAGTAAAAATAATAAATGCACATTAAAAATAATGCACAGTGAAAATAAATAACGTACTTGGGCAGGGCCATACACTGTTATGTAACCAAAACTGAAAATTCTTTAAATTTTATATTGTTTTACTAATTTTGATTAAAGTTACTGAGCGTTTATTATTTTTATTGTGCAAATTGTATTTTTTAACTGAACAAATTACAGTAAAATACTGTGCGTGTATTACTTGACATTTATGATTTTTACTGTGCAAAATATTATATTATACTGATCATTTTTAATTTTTTACTCTGCAAAAATTAATTAAATACTGAAAATTTATCATTGAATTATTTACTGATCGCTTTATTACTAACCTGTTAATTTCTGAATCTTTTGTTATATCTTTTCCCAATTATTAAATTACCGTTTCAGGTTTTGTTTCAACCACTGTTTCTTCTTTTCTTACATAAATAATAAGTTTTTTTTTCTTTATTTTTAGTGTTGCCGGGTTGTTTTTTTTATTATGCCATGACAATTTTTTGATTCTACTTCCGTATATTATTCTCAAATTTCACTTCTTTATTTCTCATTTTTATTAAAATAATTCTTCTCATTTTCTTCAAAAACACTTCAAGTGGACTTAAAATTGGTCAAGTTGGTGGCAAAACAAACAAAACCACGTTTTTTTTTATTTAAAAATAATAGTCCTTAATAATATTCCGATAGTTACAATAGGCCAAAATACGTATAACTAAAACATCTCAAGTGAACGTAAATCCGTTTTTGTTGGTGTCAAAATTAAATAAAAACCACAAATTTTTGTAATACTAAATAACATTCTTGTTATGCAACCAAGACTGAAAATTCTTTAAATTTTATGTTGTTTTACTAATTTTGATTAAAGTTACTGAGCGTTTATTATTTTTACTGTGCAAATTGGATTTTTTTACTGAACAAATTACAGTAAAATACTGTACTTGACATTTATGATTTTTACTGTGCAAAAATTAATTAAATACTGAAAATGTATCATTGAATTATTTACTGATCGCTTTATTACTATCCTTTTAATTTCTAGAGGGTTGGCTGAAGGTCGATGTGACTTATGTGGTGAAAAATTGGCTCGATTACCAAGACTCCCCAACGCATGCCATAAGCGTGGCTTGCAAGACTTGCGGAATGGACAAGAACCAATCACCAATTTCGTTTTCAAGTGAATTGAAACCGTTTTTGGTGGTTTATACTCACTCGCAACAGAGGAGATCCCTACATCGGAGGCCTAAAAGGCAGACCAAGTGTTCTGCAGGCCGAAATGAGTGTTGCAGGGAAAGCTTCTATGTGTCATTCGCTGATATAGGTTGGGATGACTGGATTATCAGTCCCGAGGGCTACGATGCCTATTTCTGTAAAGGCTCGTGTGTTACAGCCTCGGCTTTGACGCTAAGTGCCACGCAACACAATAGTATATTACAGGTGTGTAAAAAATTTACTGTTTTTTTTATTTTATTATTTTTTTTTTGTTACAGAAAGTCATGTATGGGCAGAACAAAAATCGCGGCTCGCGACCCGAATTGACCCCCTGTTGTGCTGCAACCCAGTTTCAGCCTTTACAGTTGGTCTACATGGATAACAATAGAACTTTGATGACAAAAGTTTTGTCGAATATGATTGTGGAAAGTTGTGGGTGTTGGTGATGATACTATAGCAGTATTTTGTTTCGTGATTTACTCACGTGCAACAAACCAAAGCGAAAGATACCAAAAATTGGGGAAATTTTCGTTTTAGAATTTTTCTTCTTATGGGTGTGATTTTGTACGTCAATTTAATTTATTTCTTAGGTAATTGTATGTTAAACTATGTTATATTTATTTAATGTGTATTTTTTAATTTTATAAGTAAACCAATTTGAGCAAGTACGGGTTTTATTCCATCCCTTCTTCGAAATATTATTTTAATATTTATACTCGCAACTAAATAAAAATCATCTAAAAATAATTTCTTAAAGATATAAATAATTATTGGTGACGCTTTATTCTCAAGTTTTTGACTAATAATCCCTCGGGAATAAAATAAATGAAATACCGATTTTTACTCTTTAAATAAACTGAATTGAAGTGTTGAGTGTTAGATACCGATTTTTACTCTTAAAATTGTTTTTGAATGAATAATTAAATTTTTTTCTGTTGGGGGGAAAATTTTGTATGCATCTCTGGTATAAACATCTCTACATTAGTGTCGGGGTTAAAACATCAGTTGTTTATCCCCTTAATACATAATACCTAAGAGCATTATTTATATTTTAATCAGCAAGGTTTCAAATAAATAATAATTATACTACATTTACGAAATTGTCGTGAATTAAAAAAAAACTAAACAAATTGCTACGACCTAAAACGGTTTTTTAATACCGGGTGTTAAAAAAAGATTGTAAAACATGTAAGGAGTAATAGTATGGACCAAAATAAACAAAAACAGTTATCTTCACCTTCTTCAGTTTTCTTTTTCGACAATTGTAGTTTTTTATCTGATTTTCTATTTTTTCTTGTAGCGTTTTTATTTTTTCTTAATTTTTTCCCAATAGTTAAATTACCGTTTTAGGTTTTGTTTCAATCACTGTTCCTTTTTTTCTTAGATAAATAATAAGATTTTTTTATTTATTTTTTGTGTTGCCGGATTGGTTTACTTTTTTTATTATGCTATGACAATTTTTAGATTCTACTTCCGTATATTATTCTCAAATTTCACTTCTTTATTTCTCATTTTTATTAAAATAATTCTTCTCAATTTCATCAAATTAAGTATGCAAGTTTTTATTTAATTCAAAACACGAGCCAAAACACTTTAAGTGGACTCAAAATTGGTCAAGTCGGTGGCAAAACAAATAAAACCACGTTCATTTAAAAATAATAGTCCTTAATAATATTCACGATAGTTACAATATGCCAAAATACGTATAACTAAAACATTTCAAGTGGACGTAAATCCGTTCTTGTTGGTATCAAAACTAAATAAAAACCACAAAATTTTTCGTTTCTTTTTTAAATAATAATAATATGGTGCGTAAAACACTAAACAAAATATTTCAAGTTGACTCAAATCAGGTTATTTTGTTGGTATCAAAACTAAATAAAAATCACAAAATTTTTCGTTTTTTTTAATAATAATAATATGGTACGTAAAACACTAAACAAGATATTTCAAGTTGACTCAAATCAGGTTATTTTGATGTCAAAATTACACAAAAGAAAAATATTTTTGTTTTATACCTTGTAATAAGAAAATAAAATACAAAAAATTCACATTCACTACATATCAAGCCGAATTTCTAAAAATTTTAAAAATTTTAAGAATAATGAAAAAAAAAGAAAAAAGTATAAGAGCTTTACAACATTCGGTAAATACCAAAAAAAATAAAATTTAAGAAACTGTCAGTAAATCTTCTTTTTATCATCATCTTCATTTTCTTTAGGTTTTTTCGACATCATCAGTTTATTATTTGATTTTCTCGTTTTCATTGTTTTTATTTTTTTTTCTTTAAATTGTTTATTTAATTTTTTTCTCAATCCAAAACCGTTACTTTGCCATGGTCCATGTTTATTAAGACTTTTTTATTTGTTTTGGTCTATACTAGTCTACTACCTCCTAAAATATTTTACAATCTTTTTTTAACACCCTGTATATGTAATGAAAAAAATGTTTTGTGTTGAACTAAATTAAAAAAAAATGTTTTTTTTTACAACAAAATAATTATAATAATAATTCTGTATACTAGATTCTAAAACTGGAAAAAACTGCTACATTTTCAAGGTAAGTTTTACTCTAATATTTATAATCAAATTCAAAGGAAACTGGGGTATATGGTTCTTCTAGAAAAAAAACAGTTTTCATGTTTTTTATTTTTCAGATAACCAGTAAAACACTGTGATGTTTAAATTATTGTTACTGTTAATCTTATATCGTAAAATAGAGTTTGGATTTAATGGACTTATAACAAACTTTATCTTTTTATAAAACTGAATTCAAATTGCAGTGTTGCGACTTGAATATTTGGAAATTTTGATTACAACAAATCGTGGAATTCTACCAAAAATATAAATTTTCGAGTGCTCAACTTTTTTATTACAAAGTAAACGTATTTTTTGATTCAAAAAATAAAAAATAGTTTTTAAAACGCTTAAAACGTACCTATGTATCAAACTAAGGGTAATATATGGGTTATTAGAGTTAAAAAAATTCTGCAATTTTAATTAAAGATTTTCTAGTGGTAATCGATTATGTACTTAATCCATTTTTTTTAAATTCCTAGCAGATTTGAATCCTACCTAAAGCGGATTATTGTCACTTAGCAGATTTTATTTTTATGTTTGCAAAGTTTCGTTATAAAAAAGTTATCTCTCAATTCTAACGATTTACGTTTTCGTGTTAATTATACATTTTGTTTCATTTCATATACAGTAAAACTTCTATAAATCGAACTTCTATATCTCGAAATTTTAATAAGTCAAAGTGAGTGGCTAATCCCGATCATTTACTAAAAGAAATCAATCCAACTTTTTCTCAATATCTCGAACCTCTTTAAGTCTAATTCGAAAAAAAGGAAAAATGAAAAAAATTCCGTCACCCCGAAGTCAAATGAATAAAATCTATATCTACACACATATACATTTTAAATTTTTGTTCTACTTTAAGAATTTATGGTTATTTATATACAAGGTGCGCCGGAACCCAGAGAAAAATGCCATGTAACGTAAGATACCAGGAACATGGAAAAAATGTTAAAAAAATTCTATCTATAAAAATTTCAATGTTATGAAAGTTTAAATTTTGCACTTTGACTTTATTTATCTCTATTGCAAAATAATTTTCCAAGTTTTTTTGCTACAGGCTATTAGAAGAGGAAATAAGGAAGCTATATCCTAAATTGCAACTCTGTTTATTTTCATTATCATTAAATAGACATAAAAAATGTCAAATGTCAAAAAATAAATGTCAAAATTTTTTGACATATAGTATTTTTTGTTCCTGGTACTTGACATTTTTCTCTAGGCCGCGAGATTTGACACACCCTGTATTTTAATGTTAATGCTGTTCAGCCGCATAAATTACAATTTCAAATGTCGATGTTCTCACATATGATCAATTTATTATTCAAAACCGCTAGGTATATGTCGTGTCACATCGAACTAAATTCTGCAATTTATTTAGGTATTCGTATCAATTTATAATTTTTATATTTTCTCACTATATTTTCATTTAAAATTTCTGACACAAGGATAGTTAACAACAAACAGCAAAAACGAAATATTTCGAATTTTGGAGCATAATTAAGTCTCAATCCCTAATAATTAAAAGAAATTTTGCCACTGGAGCTAAAAAGTTGGCCAGAGTATATCTTGCGGCTGTATTTACAAGACAGTTAGTTACTTCTTTAATACTCCTGTCTTCAACTGGTTCTTTGATGCGATTTAAGTTTAGTATGCTTACGACATTCGCGGATAATCCACCAGTTCTGTGATGTTTTGTGTACAGAGATGAGTAGGTTCGTAATTTTTTTTCGATTTTTTATAAAAATTTCTTGGTTCATTTAAAGTAAAAAAATCCCATGTATCAACCAGTTGTTCACCCTTCTAGTTGTTATGTCCCGACTTGATAAATCGTTGAAAACCTGTTGAGTAGTAATTACGCCAAGTATGACAAATTAGCTATTTATTACTTAGTAAATTTACTCAAAATTCGCAAATCGATGCACCAACTTGACAGACTAGTTTAATAATGTTGGTCAGTGGGGCATTTTGGCCCCGCCTTGGTCGTTTTGTCGAATCAAGATACAAGAGCAAGTCGGATTATGCAAGAAATTTTTCAAAATTCAAAAAGTTAAGGAGGGGTAATTGTTAACTATTAATCTACTTGTTGTTTTTTATTATTTCCACCATTATTATGTGGTAGTCGGTGTCACAAAGCATATATCGCATATTCACGCTTTAATAAACGAATAAATGTGTATGATTTGTTTATATGTAACGGTATAAGACTTAAAATGCGGTTCAACTCAAAACCTCAGTATGAAATCGCGGCTCTTGATGAAGTAAAGTGATTTGTGGAGTGGTGTTCAAACACCGGCTAATTAAGGATAATTATGTAAGTTGATTTGATCATTTTTTGGTTTTTATCGAGAAATAAAAGCGAAAAATGTGGGTTTCCATGGTGCTTGAATTTGTTGTTGCCATCCAGGTTATGCATTTTTTCGGGTTTACTTTCATATGACAAGTCACAGTTACTCTTAATAAAATTAGCACCTAATAAATTACCCTTCACTAAAACATTTTAACGGTACAGTCAAAACAGTCAAAAATTGATCTCGTGATTTGTCAAATATGTAGTAATTTGACTGGCACATATTTGAGCCACTAGAAAATTCACTTGTCATGGTCGAGACTGTTGAAAATTTAGTGGAGCATAAGAAGCACCAAAAATGTCACTGAACTATTTAAAAGTGAAAAATTGGAAAATCCCTGTTACAGTTAGGAGCATCACAAGTGAGAAATTTATTACAGTCATTACTCTCAAGTTTAGATATTAGAATCGTCGAAATTGCGGTATTATTATATATTTAGCATTACAATTCAAAATTAATTGTACTATAATTAGCTTCTTATCTAAGGCGTAACAAATTCACACGCAACTTTTTTCCCAATATTTAGAAAAGTTGCTCTTGTTTATTTTTATTTTTTATAACTGATGATAACACTGCTCGAATTGGTAATTTTTTTTCGAGTCATTTTTTACAAACTGTGATAAACTATTTTAGATGACGGAATTTTTTTAATTAATTCAATTAATTCTTTCCGAATGACACAAGACATATTTTCCACTCAAACTTACTTGTTAATCCTTTGTTTTGTCTTGTTTTAATGGCCAAAAAAGGCAAAATATCCGTATAACGAATGTGCAATGTTTTACTTTGTCATGTCAGTAAAGTCCATGAAACAGGTTTCCGGTAAGCGGAGACTGCAGTGATTTCCATTTAATGGGGCTGCTGACTCCTGAGACTTAATATTTACAAAGTTGTAAAAGCTCGGTAATAAGATGCACTAACAAACACACTTAAGTCGGTGAAACTGCTACTCTATCACTTATATTGACATATTGTAAATAAAAATTCAAAGTATTATGTTTATTGAATTGTTTTTCCATATGTTTCGTTTTAGTTTGTATTTATTATTTTATTTGCCACTAGCCTAGATTCTAGTTCTTTCTATAACTGGCCGATTTTTAATGTTCTAGGATTGGTTGGTCTATGAGTAGCCAATGATTGGCTATTTTTACAAGTTTTTTTCTGAATTGCACCGCATATTTAATTATTGTTGGCCATGTTGGAGATGCAAGCTCCACCTACTTTGTTCAAACAAAATAGTACAATAATACTACACATTTCTTTCTTTTTGAAATAGGTGTTTGTAAATTTTCGATGTTAAAATATAAATTTGGGCTGAATAGAAAATTTTATGTGTCTGTGCAATAATATTCAAATTTTTAACGCCTCTAAAGTTTTAAGAAAACAATGAACTAATTAAATTAAAACAATCACTTTTAAACATTTATTTATTACTACAAAATCAATAAATTAAATTCGTTTGTTATATTAAAAAAAATTCAATAAATACCAAATGCTCTATCTATAAATTCTATCTATAAAAATTTTGAAGTTATGAGAGTTTAAATTTTGCACTTTGACTCCATTTATTTCTGTTTAAAAAATTAATTTAAAACTTTTTAGCCACAGGTTATTAGAAGAGGAAACAAGAAAGCTGTAGGTATCCTAAATTGTAACTCTGTTTAATGTTATTTGTGGCTTTTATTGGCAAATTTTTTGTACCTTTATTAAATACATATAAAAACACATATACAAGATTATCAGTAACATTAAGTAGACATAAAAAAATGTCAAATGTCAAAAAATAAATGTCAAAATTTGTTGACAGTTAAAAATTAAAAAAAAAAATTTTTCCATGTTCCTGGTACCTTATCTTACTTGAAATTTTTCTCTTGGGCGCGAGTTATTCTGACACACCCTGTATGTTTAAAATGTAAAAAATTATAAAAATAGTAAAGGATTTATTTTACTTAACACATCGAGTTATAAAAATGGCTTAAATGTAATTTAAGTCAAATTTTTAAAATGGAAAAGGGTCAGTTTTTAGAAACGTAAAACTCTTTCAATGAAAAAGAGACAATGTTTTACAAAACACATTGTGAATGTTATTTTTTCAGAATTACATTGTTACTTGATAAAAACTTATTTAGAGAAACGATAATAAAACGATAAAAAAATTGTTGAAACAACTGTATTTGTTTTGTTTTTTTATTTGTAAAAATCATAATTAGAGGAAAGCAGCTTTTCCTAAATCATTTTAAGCAAACTTATTTGTGCTTTACACATTATAGTATGTCTAGGTAGATTTGTGCACTTTCAAATTTGATTAAACAAAATGATAGCCTAAATACGTTTTACAGCTTTTGTTAATTACGTTGTAATTTTTACATGGTTGAAAATGGGTGGTAAGAAGTGCAAAAGGTAGGTTACATCATTAAATCATGTCTTTAAAAGTTTTGTTTTTTACTCTATGTGTTTCAGCTTGCTGGATAATTTTTTAACTTTTGATTAAGTTTTCTAATAATTTACTGCATAATAGTCGGATAATTGGACGCAAATGCGTAAATTTACCCCACAGTATTTTTTAAATTCCATTTTATAAAAAAAGTTGTTTTTGTTTTTATTTTTGAAATATGTATGTTGTAAAACAAAGAATTGATTATTATTTTTCAAAATTTCAAGTAAGATGTAAGATTCCAGGAACATGGAAAAAATATTGAAAAAACTTTATCTGGCAAAAAATTTTGACATTTATTTTTTGACATTTGACATTTTTATGTGTATTTAGTAAAGGTTCAAAAATTTTGCCAATAAAAGCCACAAATAACATTAAACAGAGTTACAATTTAAGACACAGCTTCCTTATTTCCTCTTCTAATAGCCTGTAGCAAAAAAAAACTTAGAAAATTGTTTTTCCAACAGAAATAAATAAAGTCAAAGTGCAAAATTTAAACTCTCATAACTTCGAAATTTTTATAAACAGAATTTTATTAACCAGGTTCCTGGTACCTTACCTTACATGGCATTTTTTTTCTGAGGCGCGAGTTCTGGCGCACCCTGGATATCACGCAAAATATGAAGATGTACATAATGAAACATAAGCAAAAAATAACATGAAACTATATCGACAACTAGACACAAAAAAATATTTTAAAGTTTCATAGTTACAGCAAAATTTTTCTTAGGTGCGCACAATTCACCCCACTTTCCCCTATATCAGATTTAGCATCGTAAAATTTTGTTTTTTTTATTTCGGTGTCACAATGAGCTTAAAATGCAATTTTGTGACAGTTTTTTATGTAAAACGTTGGCCCTCACTGGGCATAGACCGTCGTTTTTAAGTGAGAAATTGTTGCAATTTAACGTATTTCACCGAAACGAATGCAATTTACGCCATTTTTTATTTAAGCAAGTGTCAAAAATTTTAACTGTCAAATATAATAATAAATTCAATTTAAAAAGCACTCAAAAATAGTGTAAAAACGCGTGTTACAACTTCTCATTGTGATATTTGTGGATTTGTAACACTCGCCACTGCGTGGCATGTGTCCAAACCACTCATATCACAATGGGAGTGTTTGTAACACTTGTTTTTTAATATACTTTTTTATCCACGCTCAAAAAATAATAAGATTTCATTGTTTCTTTACAGATTTCTGTTTTTTCACGGAAATTTTGTTTTTATAATAAGTAGGTAATTGTTCTTTTCCGGCATGACGAAGTCTTTATCAACGTGGTTGATTTACTTACAAATTCAGTAAAGCACAACCATATCGATAAATTATTGCTCCATACATCAACTTATTGATTTGTGTTGTAATTATAAAAGAAAAACGAGCTCATAACTTGAAAACGAATAATAGAATAGTATTAATACTATCTCAATTTAAACAAGAACAGTATCTTTGTAACAATAATACTCTATTTGTTTATTGCTTTGGTGGCACTGTACAATTAACAAATAATGTAGAGCTTGTTCATTCCGAGATAAACATCGGTGTGCGAATACCAAATTTGAAAATTTGTTTCAGAATGCGATTCCTCGTGTTATCCATCCTGGCCCTATCCAGCTTGTCGCAAGCTCAAGAAAGTGCTCAATACCTCCACAATGCCATAAGAGACTTAAGATATATGAAAGGCCGTCAGACACTAAAACGAGTGGACACGACACCCGAGCCCGAACCAACGGCAGCCCCGGCCCCAAAACCGGCCGAAAGACGCATGCAGGGGGGGAAAAGTGTCCCCCCTTTATCCCTGACAAAAGGCGAACTTGCAGCTTTGTACGAAGCGGCAGTTTCAAAAGGCGAAACAGTCAAATTAGACGCGGGAGACAACTCCTACATCCATGCAGCTGTACACGAAATGAGTGATTCCCCGAGTTATGGACATGAAACTAAAGCGAGTGAAGGGGACGATGGGACAGGGTATTATTATTACTATTATCCAGTGAAGAGTTTTTTAGATGATATGGCCTCGCAATCGACTTTGGTAAGTCAAGTGGTGAAACCAGAACAAATCACTCAAATAACCATTTTAGAATGACTACCAATATAGCTCCACCAATCACAAACCCACGTCAGAAAAACCACATTATCAATATCACTCACATACACACCAGGTAACTTGTCGAAAAAAAATTGTGGTTTTTCATTTGTGATAATTGTAGCACAATGTTAAAATAACTTCGAGTAAAGAAATGGTCCCGGAAAAAAAGGACAAGAAGGCCCTGGAGCCCCTCTTCATGGCCATTTCGGGTTTTATCGGCATGGCCGTGATGTTCGTATTATCAGTGCTTGTTTTTCCCAAGTTTGGGATTAAAAAAACACGGGGGAATATAAAGGGTGGGATTAAAAAAAACGAAAGGATTACTGATATCGCCCGAGTTGCTTTGCAAGCAATCGAAGGGAAGGATTGCGCTGAACGGTTTGCTTGCGAGTTGGAGAAAACAGCTCGAGCTTTTAATTTGCAAGATAATCGATTTGTGAAGTGAGTAGTTGGATTTTATTTCGAGTTGGTGTTGATTTTCTTCCAGGTTGTTGAAGAGAATGGCCCCGAGTTCGTTTGGGAAACAAATGGATAAAGTTGGGAGGAATAATAATAAAAGACTTAGGTGCACTGCGATTCCTTGTAAAAAGAAAAATCCGCCGAAAAAGAAGGCAGGCGCCCAGAAGAAACCCTAATTGCCACCAAAGTTTTTAATTTAGGATATTTAACTTATTTATTTTTTATTTATTTGTACATTTTACTGTTAAAAAAAAACAAACAATATACGCATGAAATTATATTTGTTTTACTCATTGAAAAAAGTAGCATAAAAACTGAGAGAACAAATAAAAGAATGTATATAATAAATAAATATCTTCATTGCAATAGATGCATGTACAGTCTTAATTTTGTTTCCTAAATACAAAGAGCAAATGATCTTAAAGTATATACACACAAATTTTATGACATACAAACTGACATACACAATGTTAAAATATTTTAGTTTTTACACAGTACATTTAGTAAACAAAAGCACTACAATATTAAGCAGGCTATATCAGTATTATTTTCCTATAATAAAATTTCAGTGAAGTGTCAATAAATAATCCGTTAAAAAGCACAAGTGTGAAAATAATCCCCCATTTATTGCTTACATAAACAAATTTGTGTTTCAGTTGCACGCAACACTTCAAAAATCACTACACTATCGACTATCTACCAAAATGGAGATCACTTAAACACCGATTTTCCCGTGTGATGCAACTGATTTGTGATTAGACACAATCATATTTGAGCAAAGCTGCTTGTCCTTAATCTAAATTCGACAATAATTTCCTAAACGAGACCACAAACTTTGGTTTTTCAATTAAAATAAAAACTATTTTGGCTTTCAACTAGAAACAAATATATAAAAAACGACTTACAATTCTTCATGTTACTTATAAAAATATCTAAATAGTAAGATTATCAATTGTGGAATTCTTTCAAATGGAATATAAAAAACTCATATGGCACCAAGAATAACATATTAGTCACAAAGTCCGTGCAATTCTGCATAATTTACAATAGCTCGATGTAGAAATTCATACTGCGCCTAAAAACACAAATCTCAAACAATCACCAAACAAAAAAAATTAAAAAATACTTACGTATGAACTTATAAGTCCGTTTCTTTGCGAACGCAATTTTCGCGTTACTGTAAACACGTCGACACGTTTTTCAGTCCGTAATTGTTGGACAAGAATCGTCAGTCCGACAAACATTGAACTCCTATCCGACCCTAAACTACAATGGACCACCATAGAGGGCGAACAGTCATTGTGGACCAAAGCCGACTGCGACTGGTCGACGAGCTCAGTCAACCCTCTCGTCACCTCGGGCACCTGCCACAAAAGTCATCATTTTCAGCGCATGCTGTATAATGTTTCAGAAAACAACGCAAAAATATCCATTTATAATAAATTGATATAGTGGTTCAAGGGAGGTACAGGGAATAACATAATATAATAACAACATTTTTAACCAATACAGGGTGCGCCAGAACTCGCGCCCCATAGAAAAAGTAAGATACCAGGAACATGGAAAAAATTTCGAAGTTTTTTTTTGACTCCATTTATTTCTGTTTAAAAAATAATTTTCCAAGTTTTTTAGATATAGGTTATTAGAAGATGAAACAAGGAAGCTGCATCCTAAATTGTAACTCTATTTAATGTTATTTGTGGTTTTTTTGGCAAAATTTTTGACTTTTACTAAATAATTATGAAAAAAAAATCTCATACAAGATCATCAGTTTCATTAAATACACATAAAAAGTGCGGTTTTAAGGGCAACGGCCAAAATACTCAGTTTTTGATTTGATGCCAATGAGTTCAAGATCTGTTATACATGTTGTGTTCCGGTACACTAAAATGTGTTATTTTTACTGCTTCCACGAATATTCCCATATAAAGTACGATTTAAATAAGAACCCACAAAATGATTCTTAAAGTAGACCAAAAATAAATAAACGCGGAACCCACGATTTGTGAATCACGATTCGGGATTGATACAGGTGAAAGCGACCCCCGAAAATAGAAAAACAAACTATCTGCTTAGAATCAACACAAAATCGGAAAAAAAACTCTAAGCAGCAAAACATTTTTTATGAAACTATAAAATAAACTAAATTTCATAATATTAACACAACATTGAAACAGTGTTAAATATTTGTTTTTGTTTTTGAATAAAATAAATTTTTTTAAATAAAAATTCCATTAAATCGGTCCATTTTAAGCACCTCTCCCCTAATCAACGTACAGCGTGAATACAAAGTATGGAACCAAGCGGTTTTATTTTAACCATTTGTCTCCAGAAAATAATAATTAATATAAATTAAAGTAATATAAAAAATATGATCGTATTTTGCGAAATTTTCTTTTGATTTTTTTTGTCAAAATTGCAATTTATGTAATTTTTTTTTGAAAAAATTAAATGTAAAGTAAATAGTTGTAATCCTTAGATCATAACCTTCATGAGAAAAATGGTTTTACAGTGAACTGCCATTTAAAAAAAAATAAAAATTTTGTAGAACTCAAAAACAAAAGAAAATTTCGAAAAATTTTATTTTTGATATAGAACATCACATTTTTATAGTACTTTATCATTCATCAATTAATTTCTCTAAAAAATAAATAGTTTAAGCAAAAAACGTTTGGTTCCATATTTTTTGTTCACCTAGTATATTGGTTCCTGAGACAGCTAGAGTCCCTTAAAGATGGCGACCCAAAGGTCTTTTAGTCTCAATTATTTCAGTTATTAGTTGAAATTATTCTTATTTTTTCTGGTAATATCATTATTAATTGTTTTTTTATTTCAATGATTTTCAATATTTTATTTTCAATTTTTTCTTCATATTTTCATGTTCTGGTTTTCTACTTTTTTTCTGACTCATTTTTTTCTGTTTTGAAATTTTTTTACTAGACATTTCTAGAGGCTTTACATTTTTTGTACAATGTTTTTTTCTGTTTTGCCTTTACTGGATTTACTTTTTAAGTTTTTTTTATATTTATATAGTCTTATATTTCCTTATATTGAATGTGTTTGCTCTAAACGTTTTTCTTTCATAGTTCTTTCCTATTTTATTTCTCGTTTTTTTTCCTCATTTTTACAGATTTTTTTTTACTTTTTTATTAGTTTTGTGCTGTTTTTACTATTTCAATATACTTTTGTTTATTTCCTTCTCTGTCTCCTGTTTTTACAAGCCTTATCATCTGTTGTTTAGCTTTTGTTTTTTGTACTATTTTTGTATTTTACCAAAATGTTTTTTTTTTTCATTTTCACATTTTTATAGTATTTTATCATTCATCAATTAGTTTTTTCAAGAAATAAATATTTTAAGCAAAAAACGTTTGGTTCCATAGTTCTTATTCACCTGGTATTTTTTAAGTAGAAAATGGACGCGTGTAAAAAAATAAACTCATTTTACATTTTTATGTAGTTTTGAAAAACAAAACAAAAGCTGGGGGCCCCAAATTACTCTTCTTATTTCTCTTCTCAACGGCATTTTTTGGTGCATTTATGATTGAAAAGGAAAACAAAACCCCAAGAATTAAGGTTGCGTTTGGGGGAAAAAAAATTCTAAACCAATAGATTAAGTACCAAAAAATTATCTTTGCTACAAATTTTAGTAAATTTATTTATTGAAGAGTGTGAAACACATTGACGCAAAATGTCAACAACTGTCAGAAGTGTCAAATTGAATGATTGACATCCAACGCACTCTTGATTAAGGTTTTTTTTTAAACATAAAATTTAGGCCTTTTTCAGCCATGAAAGTTTCGCGATCGATAGTTTTTTCATTAAATTTTTATTTTCTATCTTTGCTTAGTCTCCGCATTTTGCCGTTTTTCATTTTTAGAGTGTCCAAAAATTGCTACTGCGCGAGAGAGTAAGTTAAATTAATTTTTACACGGGTTGAGAGAGTTGGAACTACCACGTTTTAGTAATAAAGAATTTCAAATGTCAAAAAATAAATGTCAAAATTGGTATCTTATCGCTAGTTCTGACACACCCTGTATAAGTTTTGTGCAAGAAGACGTTATTCCCTGTACCTCCCTTGAAGCGAAAATATCCGTTCTGTTGTTAAAATTTAGTTTTATTCACTTCTTAGACACGCAATGTATACAGTGTGTGTCGGAAATAAGTGCCACTCACCTCGCCGTCAACAGTGGGCCATCCATGATACTGCAAATGTATGACTCTCTGATCTTCACAATCGCGACTTTTGATGTACATTTCGCGTCTTGTGTAATAAGGACAACTTTCTGCTTGTTCGTATCTGACAGTAATGTGGTCGTAAGTCCCTTCGTCTTCATCCGGCCAATATCGGGGACATTTATTTTCGCCTAATTCTGACAACATAACAATAACACTAATTCCTTGCTCGGAGATCATTCTCCAAAAATCATTAATGGTCGATTCTGTCGGATCTTGTGTTATAATAAACGATTCGGTATTGTCGTAACCTTCGATAAATGATGCATTTATGTAAGTGGAATGTTCCTTGCCCGATAGTGGGGTTAATATAACCCTGTTTCTATCATATGGAATGACTACGTCTGATCGATTTTTTTCCCGATTTTCATCACCTTTCGCAACAGAGCATGATTTACGGTCCTCAAAAGCGTTTAGTATATTCTAAAAAAAAATAATTATTACATAACTAGACAAGAAGTGACTCACTTCAAACTCCTCCTCTAATTTACATTTCGCTTTGTCTTTATCACATTGTCTTAATTTGTCTACTGTCACTTTCAATTCGTTGGCACTGATTTCAGTGTCACCATATTGAGCTACTTCCATTAGAGCGCGGTAAATAAATATGTATTGTTTCTGGAATAAGTGACATGGAAAAACTGTATTAGTATACCACTAGACGTACCAATGACTGAACCAGGAAATTTCTTTGGTGTCTCAAATCGCATATTGTATTGAAAATTGATACATGTTCCTCCTCTTTCAACTGTTGCAATAGACAGTCTAGTGCAACTAAAGTACCAGTTCTACCAACTCCAGCACTACAATGGATTAAAATACACCCTTTCTCAATCGAGTATGCCTCATTGACGCGTTTTATGAATTTGATAATGCCGTTTGGATGTTCCGGTGCCATGAAATCTTTCCAGACGAGATAATGATATTGTGTTATTTGTCGTTCTTCCTTGTCTTTCCCAGGGGCATTTCTTGCGATTCTTAACTCTCTTACTATATAATCTGAGTATCTAGTTTCCTGTACATGAGTAACTGTTATATCACCAAAACACTTATCACCGTCACATTTATCAGGCCAATATTTCGCACATTTCGTTTTACTATATTCTTCTAAATTAGTGAGCATTAAAATCAGTTCGAGATGTTGTTCCCAAATCATCCTCCAAAACTCGTTCACTGTTGTATCCATAGGTCCTTGTGCACAAATAAATTTCTTTCGTTCCTTGTACCCCATTACAAAGTTTGCATTTATGTAATCGGATCCTGCTATACTATCAATTTGTGATAACTTGACTCTAGTCTGGTCGTAAGCCTTGATATCTGGATACCGATTTTTGTAAACATTTTCTCTTGCGTCGGACGCTCGAGTCGTCCGATCGGAAAATCTATCAGGTAGCAATTCGAATTCTTGTTGGAAGCCATAATCTGAGTCTCTGTGTCGCTCTATATAGGCTGAGACGAGCTCCCCTTTGCTAATGGGGCACATATCGGGAGGATTTAGAGATACTAAGCGTTGACGACCCCGTAGGCTCCTGTACAAATGCCTAAGTCCAATTATTAACAAAAAAATATATGTACGACAATAAAATAAATACAGGGTGTTCCCTTTTCAACTCAAGTTAACTCACAGCACTTAAGCATTTGTTACTCTATGACCTGACAATTACCTGAGGGAGGTCCTAAATGTGATTTCCACAGCTTGAGCATGGGCTTGTTTTGTGTAATGATGCAAAATGCATAAAGCCCCCAATAGTAGAAGCACTATCATTACCAAACCGCACAAAATCTGAACTACTAGACTTAACGTGCCGGTCAAGGGGGCTGCTACGACTTCAGGCCCGGGATTCATCATCACTAAATAATTACTATAAGCCGCAATCGTCGACGATTTTGTGCTATTACCATAAACTACAAAAAACGGATAAGAAAAATTCGAGTAAAACGACAATTATACCTATAATCTCGACAAATCCAGTATAATTACTACTAATATCAAGTGTGCCATCAAAAGGTGGCAATGGGTCACTTAACCGTTCCTCCCTTCTCACCCTATTAACTGTACTATTAATATCATCTTTTTTAATCTCTCGGGGTGTATTATACGGACGCAAACCAATACACTCATCACATTGGTTACTCGTCAAATTAAAAACTTGATCATCCCCCAAAAACACCTCCCCTTGGAATGTTTCACTAAAACTTAATCAGTGCAAAAGCGAACCTATACAGGGTGAAATGGAAACATTTGCCATGCAAAAATCTTACGTCTAAATCTAAATACAACAACAAATGTAAAATTAGTTAAAAACCTCAAAAACTTCGTATAAAACCTTTCCCAAAATTGCCTCAAAATGGCTACTATTTTCACACACGCATATTTTTTATAGCTTATAATACATACAGAGTGACCCAGGGGTGCGTGCAACCTTCATAACTTTTTTCTATCCAAGCTATTGACACATTTCAAAAATATCTTTATTTAATACAGAATGTCCCAAAATAAAATAAATGAAAATCCTCAATTTTTGTAACATTTTTGAATTTGCCACTAAATTGTCGATATAACGCACCCAGTTTAAGTAAATTTATTTCAGAACACAAAAAACTGTCTTATTAATGTATCTGTATAAAAATAAATTTAATAAAAATATAGGATGCAAGATATTAACATGAAAAACAAAAAACAATTTTTGGACCCTAATCTAATAACTAATTTATTGTTTTGTGTTAATTTCAATTTTTTTGTATGAATTGCTTCGAAAGTTCTTTCATTCTCTGCAAACATTTAAAAAAAAGATTTTTAAGTAGGTATTTTTACTTTTAGTTAAGTTTTTTCACAACTAAAATGACGACAAAAAAACTTTAACTTGAAAAACACTATGTTTTCGCTGCAAATGAAAATCAAAAAATTGGATATTTAAGCGTGTTAGTCCTTAAATCGGGACAAATCAGAACCCAAACGTAAAATAGGACAAGACAATATAAACCTAAACATGACTAAATCAGGACAGTTGGTCACTTATGCCAATTTATGTGTTAAAATAGCGTTGTGCATAAACCCACAAAAAAAATCATAACTTTAGAACCATTCAAGATAACGTAACCAATTCTTTTCCAGTCGATTCCTCAAATTTTAACGCATCTTTTGAGATAAAAGTAAACTCTGAGTCTATGTTCTATCGCCTACTACGATTTTTTAAAAATGACAAATTACAAATGGCAATAACTCGACTTTTTTAAATGCAACACCCTATATTTTATTGCATCATTGCATGGCATTTTTTTATGAGTTTTTTGTCGATGTAGGGTTTGTGGGGTCTATTTTGCATAATTTGTAAGGTTTCTGCAAAATGAGAAATGTTGATGGTTTTTTTTTGAAAAAGACGATGTCGTAAAATTTAACACATCAATACAATTCTGCAAAAAAATATGTTTCAACAAAATGAAATTGTAATAAAAACAATTTTAGTAATTTTTACAAGAACAGGAAGGGATGATTTACACGAAACAATGTAAAAATTTTGAGTTTAATTATAGAAAATTCTCAAATAAGTCACCATCATGTTCTACACAAGCTGCTAATTTTCTAAGAAATAAACTCCAACTCTAGCAAGCCTTGTTTCATCAGTTACATGGAAGGCTTCTGTCAAATTTTAGGACAGCGGTCAACTCTAGATTCCTTTTTTTTTGAAAAAAAAAAAAAAAAAATCAACATTATTTATTTTGCAAAAATTTTACCAAGCAGATCCCACAAACCTATATTGGCAAAAAGCAAAAAATTTAGACCGCATTGTTTTTTTAAATAGCAATTTCAAGTTAATACGTTAATACCCAAATTGTTGTGGGTTTTATTTTTTGTTTTGTCCATCTCAATATTTACAATTGTTTTTATTTTTTGTGTTTTTTTTATTAAAACCATTGTACATAATGTTTAAGTTTAAAAGCTTAATAATTTGTTTTTAATTTTTGTTATTTTTTAATTAATTATTTAATAAAAACTTATTTTTTTATTTATTTAATACAAATTTCGGTTGAATTATTAGAGTGAGATAAACACATTAACTAACTGTACGTGAGAAAGAAACAATGATTTTATTCGGTAATTCGGTATTGTGCTAATATTTATTTCTTCTTAATGAAAGAATGAATTTTCTACTATCGAATAATTCAAATGACAGACAACTATCGAATTATTCGTTAAGATTCATTCGATTATGCCCATCACCAGCAATAAAATACAGTGTGTTGTATTAAAAAAATCGAGTTATTGTCATTTTGAAAAAATCGTAGTAGGCGATGGAACATTGACTCCGGGTTTGTCTTTATCTCAGAAAATGCGCTAAAGCTTAAGGAATCGACTAGAAAAAAGATGGTTAAGTTATTTTGAATGGTTCTAAAATTATTAATTTTTCTGTGGGTTTATGCACGACGCTATTTTGACACAAAATTGACATAAGTCAAAAACTATAAACAAAGTCTATAAAACAGACAATTTACTTGCGAATTCAAAAAAAAAAGAACTTAGTTGTGCATCTTATTTTGAGACATCTTGTATTGAATAAAAATATTTTTGAAATGTGCTTCATTATCGGACCTTGCACCCCTGGATCACCCTTTATATTTTTTGTCATTTCTACAGGATGATTAATTTTTTTTTCTCCCATTGGTGGCAACATTTGGCAAATGTTTCTCTCCCCCTTGTGGTACAAATACCTCGTGAACATTTCGGCGACGTATGCACCCCCTCTCGGCGTCCGATGTGCCTCTTGGTACGAAACAATCGACAAATCTTCAGGCGCCGGTAATTCAGCTAACTTCTGTTGATCTTCCATGCGCACTAGATAAATCCTATAACAACAAATCGGACCGTTACGTTCCGAAACGCGAGGAACAAGAAGTTTAAACAGCCATTTTCCTTGCTCCTCCATTTTCAACCAATACAATTGCGACAATTTTTGTTTATCGGGTAACATCGAAGGCATAGTACAGTGCAATTCGACTGCTTCACCGTTCTTTTTGGTACGTGTTACGCCACTGATCTTGACAGTGTAGTTGGTATTAGCCGAAACGTTGTTAAATCTTGTATTGAAGGTGTTTTCGCGGACGCTTTTCAATTTAGGACCCCACGTGGTGTGCTCGAGCAAACCTTGGTCGTTTATAAACGACGCACTGCCCTCTAAATGAACCTAAAAAAAAAACAATTATTAAATAAGTTAATTTATCAAAAAATTGTAATTACGTTGTATGAGATTATGATCCCGTGAGGTTTGATTGGTGCTTGCCAGGTCACGTGAACAAATGACACTTGGCTGATGTTGTCAAACCTGCATTGAATTGTGGGTTTGAAGGGTGGGCCGGAAATGCCGTCCATTGTTGTCCCATTGACAACTTCCGAAGGGGGCCCACAAATACCACTATACTCGCTACAAGCAGCCACTTGAAAATAGTAAGTCGTGGCGGGGTCCAACTCGGAAAACATGTGGTAATTTTCCTTGGAAGCGGGATGAATTGCATTAAATGACGAGTTGTTTGTTTTTAAATAAAGAGTGTAATACTGGACGTGGTCTTTCAGATCTTCCGTTGGGGTGGACCAACTGATTGTAATTGAGCTTACTGTCACTCCTGTGACTTTCACTTCCGGTATAAAAACCGGATCTTCTGACAACATGCGGACCGGGTCACTGTAGGAATACTGACTTTTGCCTTCAGAATTTTTGGCCAAGATGCGCAGTTTGTATTCGGTGTTGTTTTTGAAATTGCCCTTGAGGACATGTGAGCGTTTCTTCCCGTCGATTTCTTCCTGGAAATAGATCCAAGTGGAGTCGCCTGATGACATGTATTGGATGGTGTAGCGCAGGTTTTCGGGGTCGTTGCCGTCATTAACAGTCCAGTTAAAGTAGATTTTGTCAATTCCAATCGCTTTGACGAATTCAATACTAACTTGGGGTTTGTCTAGGACTAGAATAGCGGAAGTTGCGTTGGCAGTACTGTGACCGGTTGAAGCCACACATGTGTAAGTCGCGTTGTCTTTTTTCGTCACTTCTTTGATTGTTAGAGTTGTGTTTTTCCTAGTGTCGTTTAGGGTTTTTGTTGACCACAGCTCAGCCGGTAATGAATCATTATCTCTAAACCATTTTATTTCCTCGAGAGGATATCCTTCAATGACGCAATACAACTCGATGTCTTTGTGGAGTTTTGTATGAATTGGAGGTGATATTTGTACTATTTGTGCAGGCAGAGTTACATTCAATGTTATTTTACAAAAGTCTAAGTCAAGCTCGTTTTTGTGTGTACTGTGACAAGTATATTCTCCTATATGTTTCAGATCCAGGTTCACAATATGCAAAATTGACACTTCTGATTTTTTACCCGATTGCGTGTTAATATTTTCGCTCTCCATTTCAAGTTTAAACCTAAAAATGACATTAATGAAGAGTCCTCAATTTCAAGCTTCCACAAACCCATTTTCCCCATCAGTGATATTTTTTTCACAAAATGTCCACAAAATAAAGCTGTCAATCCATTCAGACTTGCAAATTATCGTCACATTTCCACCAAAAGGCAACTGGTTTGGGTTATAATTTAATACTTCTATTGTTACAGCCCTTTCGTCGTCCTCAGGATCTGAAGAAAATTAATTAAACTATTTAACACAACCCAAACCGGCGTTAGAATAAAAACTGTCACACACACAAAATCAAAGAAACTCACCAACGGCGTTACATTTTACATAATATTTCGAGAAAACACAAACAATTAAAAAAATACTAAAATAATGGGCTTGGCATGAGAACATGGCGCCTTTAATTTCGAGAACAGATCTACGTTTCACAGCACGAAAATACTACGAATCACTGGTTTTTATCTCCAACTACTAATACACTGCATCTTTTCGCATTTAACACCATAAAATCATAACATTTTCCATTTAAAGTTTGCCGACATTAGTTTGTTGATGTAGAAGCCATTTTGGATTCAAATAAGAATATTCTAGTTCCATTTGTTTCCTCTAGAGGGCCCGACCAGTCCCATTACATAAAAGTTGCATAACACCAAAAACCTAAAACTGGTTTTTGACTAAATTTCGGCAATTGTCAAAATTTGACATTAAAATTACAAATTAATTTGTGACATTACTTTTTTTAATAAAAATATATAAAAAGCGTCATTACATAAGCGCAAACCGCCCACGTCCTACATCACTTCATTAATAGGAAATTAATTAAATTGTATTGTTGTGACGTTACAATGACATCATTTCTATGTCATATGAATAAACGGAAAAGTAGTCACTCATCGATTTTATTATACCACGAATTAATTTTATTAAAAACCTGTATAAAGTATTTATGGTCACAATAAAATTATTTTTAGTCTTATTTAATTATTACTTTACTAGTCCATTTTTTATCGGTACAATGACCTAAATCTTTTATTTTTTATAAAAAATTTGGTTATCACTAAATTGGTGGAGGCGCCGGGCAATAAACCATTACAACTTTTCAGATTGTAAAAATTGTCTTACGATTTAGTAAAAAGTGTGAAATAAACGTTTTAGTATTTGTTTTTTGTCAAAATTTCGAGTGGTGCAAAAAATGTCAGTGTGTATGCAACCCAAAATACACTTCTAAATCCCAAATATAAAAATAAAAATTGTGTGCTTGCTTTGTTGTACGGAATTCGTAGTTAAAGTGTTTAGGGAATCCCTAAAAAAATCGTATTAGCACACTGCAAACAATATTAAATCCGTGGTAAAATCCGCAATTATTGTTGATGATACCTTTAATTATATTTTATGGGATTTCTCATAATAAAATAACGCTACGTTTGTGTTTCATATAAACAGATCCGGTGTGGCATAGAATTACAGATAGGAGTAAGCGTAATGCTAATTATCTCATTGTATATTTAAGCGCATGAATAATAGAATAATGGTAACAATTCAGAGAAACCGTCAAACTTTTTTACGTCGCCCTTTTCTCACTTAGCATTTAGTATAGAGTGACTCATGAAGTTTGTAAATTACATGGAAACTTTTCACGAGATAATTGCACTCAGGGCAGATTATGCGTCACCTGTATCAAAAATTGAGATTTCTGACCGAAAAATAAAACGGTACCATGAGCAGCGACCTTGGTTGGCTCGTCACCTTGTCAGTGGCGTGGCAATTTGGTTATTAGGCTATCAGATCAGTAATAAATTGTTGTCAATTCCGGGAGCACTCCATATAGCTATTAAATCCGGTATCGCGAAATAGTTGCGAGCGACAAGTCTAGGATTTAGGAAAAACCCGTTCGTCTAATAATTATAGAAACTGACTTGTAATTTTATACAAAACTTAGAAACAGAAAGATTGCGGAACCTGATCTAGTATAGGCATGCATGGCCTGCGGCTTTGTTTATAAACTATTGACCGTACAAATCAAAGAGATTTTACTCAAAGCATATTTTTTCAGCAAAAACATTACTTTGACATAGAGTTGCGCCCGTTTGTGAAGTTAGCCGTTTTCCTAGAATCGGTCATTTACAAACTGCTATTATGTTACTTTAATTATTTCCACCGGCTATAGCTTTAAATTTAGTTTCGGCTAATTTGCAGTATGGGCGCAGTAAAATATTTTGAGTTACGTCCCATCTGGCATGATTTATGTCAAACTCATTGTTATTTTACAGTGCGTTTTTGTTGTTTCAATAAACCCATCTCATACACGTTTCATTTATTTCATGCATGAATATTTACAAGTTCGTCGAAATTAGGTCGTAATAGTGTCAATCGATTGACAGGATTTCTTAGAAGATATTAGTCGCCCCATTTACTTTCACTGGAATTAATCTAATTGCAAAATGGTGGATGCGCCCAATAAACATTTTTTATTTCCTAAACAAAATTTTGATTTCAATACAGAGTGTGCCGGAGAAAAATGCCATGCAAGGTAAGATACCAAGAACATGGAGTTTAAATTTTGTACTTTGACTATTTATTTCTGTTGGAAAAATAATTTTCCATAAAATGTCAAATGTCAAAAAATAAATGTCAAAATAGAATTTTTTCCATGTTTCCGGTATCTTATCCTACTTGAAATTTTTCTCTGAGGCGCGAGTTTGCAACTTGGTAAAATGATTGATTAATTAATTGATTTGTTCTATTAATAAACTCAATTTTGGGGTAATGTGGGGTCATTGGCCCTTCGATTTTGTTAATTTCCTTGTTAATGCTTAGAAAAATGTGGGTTGTGGTAGAGTCATCGCTTCTATTATTGCAATCTCGTAAAATTTGTTTATTTCTAAGTAAATTAATTCTTAGCGTCAGAGTTAGAGTTTGCAATTGAACGTAATATTGGTATTTTTTAAAACAAAAATAAACGGAATTGTTTAGATTTTCCAAGTGCCCACTCAAATTGTTTCAATAATTGTAAGTTTAGATTTTAATTAAAGTGGAACAGCAGGACGCTTCACCCGAATAAAGCCAATCGGTGACTCTGCAGGAGTTCGACTTTTACCTGCACCTAACCCCTGTCGAGGCACTAAAATATGATTTGATAATGATTAAAATACTGACTGAAATATGGTCATCAAATATTTGTTTAACCCGAGCTACACCTAGGTCAGCAATTGAATATTCTATTTCAATCGAGTGTGATGTCATACATTTCCCCAATTGTTTATAAATTCTTTCGGTTTTTTATTGATGGGGTTGCTGACGAAAATTGTCCTGAAAATTCGTATAAATATCTCGAACAGTCAAAATATCGGAATGTGCCTGCTGGTGGCTCTACATCAAAAAGTTCCAATTGTTGAAAATTATTTATTTTGCTTCGCAAACGCAAAAACTATTCTATTTTTATTTTTAGCGGTTTAATGCAAGTGGGCGACTTATAACAATTTGCATTTGTAAATGATTGGCAATAAACTTCACCAGTGGCGTGCGTGCCGGATCTGCAAACCGGTTTTGAGGAAAGGTTCCGGATTTATATTTATGTTAATAAAATGACTTTTCAGGAATTCAAATTAGAAGACACCGATGACAGTTTTCGATGATCCTAAATCACAGTGAAATTAATTTAAAATTTTAAGCGATGAGTGAGTCGTTAAATTTATGATAAGTATCTCCGGCGATCTTAATAAAGTCGTCGAGAATTGTTTTGTTAATAGAGGAAGTTTTTTTGGTCGTAAATATTTGGTAATTTGCATTCCTCTGATATGAGTTATAAATAATCCGAATATTGGTTTAATTTTAATTTATTGAAAATAGTTCGGCACAACCTACTCACAATAGCTGGCTTTGTGATTCATTCATAAATAATTCGTTTGAAGTTCAAGATAGCCAAAAATGATTTTTTTCCAAGATATGCGACAGGAATTTCGGTGGCAGGCGCCAGTTTTCGTAAATATTTGCCACCCTAACTGCGATTGTATTTTATGTTTTTTTATGTTGCACATCTGGCCGGAATCTTCCGGCGTGTCAAAGAATTTGTTTTTCGTTTGCATCGCGTTATTTATCAACTCCTTCAAAAGCCGCCCAAACTGTTTGAAAATAAAATAAATAATTCGGAATACTTTCATTTGACGTCATGTTAGAAATCGAAATATCACTAAAAATAAAAGATCTGTTGTATTTTCCTAACTTAAATGTTATGAATGAAAACGGGTTTCAAGATATAGATGAATCACCTAGCCCTAAGCGTAATGCCGAGCTTCCAAGATAAGCTCAAATAAAGACGATTTGTTTGTTTACTTTCGAGGCAACTGTGGAGCCAAACAACTAAAGCAATAAATAGAAGACATACACCGAATTACTTTCCTACCACAATCGCAACATTACTCAACTATGATGCCACCAATTCCCACTCGAGACGATTTTAGAAACAGAAATCCATAAAAACGCAAAACCAATTACTTTAGTGCACATTTTTCGAAATTTTGCTAACTGTATCACACCCATTAAAATACCACGCTTTTCTGATTTTTATTCTTGATTTAATAAAAGTATATAGAATTTTACAATAATTAGAGAAGTTACAGTTTTATTTTGTTGGTTACATTATTTTTTTTCTCTGTAAAATTGTTAAAGTTTGGGCAGTGCCTCCGCTGTCGGCAAAGAATTTTACTTTTTGCTGTATTTTCGTTTAAAATATTTTTTATATACAATACTACTAATCTTTTTTAATGAACTAACCCGAATTTAGGTATAGTTTCCGCTAGTATAACTAGTAAACACATTCACAAAATGTAAATTTAATTATTTTTGCCTCTTCTGATCGCTTTTATCATCTCAAAATTTCTACCTTGTGCGACAGAACTTGCGCCCCAGAGAAAAATTTCAAGAAAGATAAGATATCAGGAACATGAAAAAAATGTTTAAAAATTTTTATGTCAAAAAATTTTGACATTTATTTTTTAATATTTGACATTTTTTATGTTTATTTAATGATACTGATGATCTTCTATATGTTTTTTTATAATTATTTAGTAAAGGTACCAATAAAAGCCACAAATAACGTTATATAATGTTACATTTTAGGATACAGTTTCCCTTGTTTCCTCTTCTAGTAGTCTATAGTAAAAAAAACTTAGAAAAAAACTTAGAGTTAAAGTGCAAAATTTAAACTCTCATAACTTTGCAATTTTTACAAATAGGATTTTTTAAATATTTTTTCCATGTTCCTGGTATCCGGGGGTCGTTACAATTTTTTTTAGAAAGAGGCAACCTCATCGCAGTTTAAAAATACATATTTTATTACAAAAACAAAAACATGTTATACAAAATAGGATCATAAAACCATATTTTTTACAACGGAAATTATAAATGAAACCATAAGACATGAATCTCTAAAACCATAAATTGGAGTATAAAAGTGTAAGAAAAATGTAACACTTGGAAATCACAACATAAAATAAAAACTCTTTCAAAATACATTCAAAAAAACAATAATCAATAGAAATAAAAAAATTAAAGGAATAACTAAC